CTCTCTCTCTCTCTCTCTTTCTTTCTCCTCTCTCTCTCTCTCTCTCTCTCTCTCTCTCTCTCTCTCTCTCTCTCTCTGTCTCTCTCTCTCTCTCTGTCTCTCTCTGTCTCTCTCTCTGTCTGTCTCTCTCTCTCCCTTTTCCCGTGTACCACTTAGTTCTCTCTCAGGCCATCTCCTCTACACTAGTCCCTTTCTTCTCTTCTCCCCATCTTGACCCTTTGGTGAAGCAATTCAACTCTATACTCTCCCTTTCTCTTGAGTCACCCTTAGCATTTTGCTGATTGTGCCCCACCAAGCCTCAGCCATTCACTTTCTTCATTCTCACACATGTGCTGCTGAATAAAGAAGAAGAAAACAATGAAACCATTCTGGCTGGGTCCTCTGCAGATTTATATCACACAACCTCTATGGGGCCCTCACTGCTGCCAGGCAATCCTATTATGCCTCCTTCATCGGCTTACTCACCCACTCTACACAACAGCTCTTCCAAACCTTCTCATCCCTCCTCACACCTCCCGTGGCTCCCTCTTCTCCCACTTGCTCAGCTAAAATCCTTGTCTCATATTTTTACATAAAAAATTAGCCCATTTGCAGTGAATTTCCTCTTCTCCCCTCTTCCCCATCTCCTATCACTCAGGTACCTTCTGCCTCTCTCCTCCTTCACCTCTGTCTCACATAAAGCCTTTCTTCCTTACCAAGGCCAAGCCCCCTACCTGCTCCAGTGATTCCTATCCATCCCATCTTCTCCAGCAGACTGCCCCTTCCTCATCCCCACTCCCTCACTTATCTTCAGGGTCTCTCTGACTACTCGCTTATTCCCTACTGCCTTCAGATATGCCCCAGCCTCCCCCATCCTAAAAAACTCTCACTTAGGCTCCTTTCTTCCCCACTATCATCCTACCTATCTTAATGATAATAATAATAACTAGCATTTATATAGTTCCTACTGTGTGCCAGGCACTGTGCTAAGCACTTTTACAAATATTTTCTCATTTAATCCTCATAACAACCCTGGAAGTTAGGTGCTGTTGTTATCCCCATTTTAGATCTGGGAGACTGAAGCAAACAGAAGTTAAATGACTTGCCCAAGGTCACACAGCTAATAAGTGTCTGAGGCTGCATTTGAACTCAGGTTTTCCTGACTCCAGGCCCAGCTCTATCCACTGCACCACCCCTTCTGCCCTTTGGGGCTGAACTCCTTGAAAAGGCATCTACAATAGGTGCCTCCTCTTAATCTGGCTTGTGGCCTTGGTCTCTTAATTGCCAAACCCAAAGGCCTTTTCTCAATCCTCATTCTCCTTGACTTCTCTTCAGCCTCTTGGTTACTGGTGACCCCTCTCTCCTCGTCAATATCCTCTCTTCTTTCTAGGTTTTCAGGATCCCCCTCTCCTGGTGTTCCTCCTCCCTCCCTGACCCCTCCTCCTACATCTTCTTGGCTGGATCCTCCTCCAGGTCAGGCCCTCTAACCATCGGTATCCCTCAGGGCTCTGTCCTGGGCTCTGTCCTGGGCCCTCTTCCCTTCTCCTTCCAGCGCTTTTTAAACTGTGGGTCTTGATGCTGAATGTAGGAGTCTCAAAAAATTTGGCAACGGTAAAAGGTTTCTGAATACAACGACCAAAATTAATTCACAATCCAACGCATAATGAGTCCGAGGTGTTTCTGGCAGTGCTTGCCTGTGTCACATCTCACAACTTCACTGCAGCCTTGGATCTGAGCACCCGGCATGCCCGCTTTGCACTGAACATGCCTTCAGGTCATGCGCCTCCAACAAGTGGGGTCACAAACACGACAGCTCAGATTCTGTTGTGTGTTATGAATTGCAGTGGTTTTACTGTACCTACAGAATCGTTAAACAGATTTTGGCTGGGGATTAGGACAGAATTTCCAGCGCTTTCTGAAATGGCTCTAAGCATACTTCTGCCATTTTGTACTATGTGGCGTTCTCAGCATTGATGATTATAAAATCAACAATTCGATCAACTCTGAAAACTATTGAAGATGCTCACAGCATCTACAGCTTCAGATAGTCCTCTGAGATTTAATTCTTTATGTAAAAGTTAACAAGCACACCCATCTCAATAGTATGTAAATTTGCTTTCATCTTTAATAAATGGTAAAATTATGTTATACCAAAGAATTGTTTTAAAATTAATTTATGATTTATTATCAGTAGATGTTTGATTTGTATACCTATTTTTATATACCTGTAAGTCCCAGGGTCACAAAAAATTTCTCAGGTAAAAAGGGGTTGAGAGTGGGAAAAGTTTAAGAAGCCCTGTTCTATACTACTTTGCTTGTTAATCTCTTCAGTTGCCGTGGATTTAATTACCATGTTTACGCTAATGATTCTCAAATCTACCTATCCTGCCCCAAGCTCTCTCCTGACATCTGATTTCCCATCTCCAACTGCCTTTCAGACAACTCAGTAGACATCTGAAACTCGACAGAATTCATTATGTTTCTCCCTAAGCTCTCCCTACCTCCTACCTTTCCTATTACTGTAGAGGGCACTACCGTCCTCCCAGTTCCTCAGGCTCAAAACCTAGGACATCCTGGATTTCTCTCTCTCTCTTTCTTACCTCCCATATCCAGTATGGTGCCAAGGCCTGTCGATCTCACCTCTGCAGCATCTCTGGAATATGTGCCATTCTCTCTTCTGGCACCCTGGTCGGTACCCTGCCTCATCACCTCCCACCTTGATTATTGCAGTATCTGCTGGGGGTGGGGAGAGGTCTGCCTGCCTCCAGTCTCTCTCCACTCCATCCTCCATTCAGCCACCACCCCAGTAACTCCCTATTGCCTTCAAGTTCAAATGCAAAATCCTCTATTTGACATTCAAGCCTAGTCCCCCCACCCCAGACTTTCTAGTCTTGCACCTTACTCCCTGACATACACTCCAGGATCCAGAGACTCCAGCCCCCTGGATGTTCCTCAGACAAGACCATCCATCTCTTGGCTCCGAGAATTTTCTCTGGCTGTCCCTCATGCCTGCGGGCTCTCCCTCCTCAACTGCACTCACTGCCTTCTTTGCTTCAAGTCCCAAATAAAATTCCATCTGCTACAGGAAGCCTTTTCCAACCTCTCTTAAGTCTACTACCTTCCCTTTCTTAATTATCTCCTATTTACCCTAGATGTAGTCTGTTTGCTTGTTGTCTTCCCCATTAGATTGTAAGCTCCTTGAGGGAAGGGGCTTTTGCCTCTTTTTGTATCCCGGGACTTAGCGAAGTGCCTGGCACCTAGTAGGGATTAAGGATTGATTCTAATTGGTCTCCCTGCCTCTTCTCTCCTCAATCCAATCCACCCCCACAGAAATACCAAAGTGATTTCCCAGTGGCTCCCTATTACTGCTAGGATCAGGTATAAATTCTTGTATTTGGCCTTTGGAGGCCTTCACAACCTGGCCCTTCCTATCTTTCTAGTCTTTTCCCACATAATTCTGCTCTGCACGCTCCAATGTTTTCCTTCTTCATCTCTCTCTCTCTCAGCTCAACTTCACTCCCTACTCCACAGCCTCATCAATTGCTTTGAACTGACCACATATCCTCTTCCGGGGGAGGGGGGAATCCATCTATCACCCATGGCCCTCCTCATCATGCCAGTAACTTTCATGGGCATCAGCACCTTTGTCTAGTGCTTTAAGGTTTAGTTATAAAGTGCTTTGAGAATGTTGTCTCATGTTATCCCCATAGTACTCCAGATGAGGAAAACTGAGGCAGGCAGCAGTGAAGTGACTTACCCAGGGTCACACAGCTAGTCTGAAGTCAGATTTGAACTTAGGTCTTCCTGTCTCCAGGTCCAGTTTGCGATCTGCTGCACCACCAGCTGCCTCACTTTTCTCACCGGAGTGCCCCTCTGCGGCTGCCACTGCACTCATTAGACTCCCACCCAAAATGATCCAGCATCCTTTTGGCACATAGCTGGTGCCTAGCAGGGGCCATTCTGGCAAGTTGAGCTGAGCTCCCCTAGTCTTCAGGACCCACGACTGAAGGACATGGTGAAGCAATCTCCTTACTGACCACTGAGCAGGAAGTGCCATCCACTGAGTGGCCTTGGAAAAGGCCCCTCCCCTGCAGCCGCTCACACGTGGTATACACACAAGCACGGCCTTAGCCGGTCTGAGCCTGGGCCTCTGGCCCATGGCTAGTGATTCTGCTGAGGATTCTGTCCCCAAGAATAGGGGCTTGACCGACCAGCAATTCTGAGATGATCACCTTCAGCCTAGTGAGTTTCCCCGGTTGGGAGGTGCTGGCGCCCTCGTCGAGAGCAGACTGGCAGCAAGAGATGCCTTCTACAACCACAGCCTTTCCTCAGAAGACTGCCATGAAGAGAGGACTGGCTGGCCCAGCTCTGGGCTGATAAAGGCCACTCATTGTCTCCTGACCTTTTGTCAATGTGAGCTTGAGTCTTTTGTGTTTAAGCATTTCTTTTGTGTAGAGGGAAAAAATAGCTGTCCTATCTATCTCTATTGTACATTGCATACTTGTCTACTCCTTTTCTGGATGTGTTAGAACTAAGCTAGAAGTGGTTTTCTCTGGGGGTCTGGGTTAGGGGCATATAGAGCTAGAAATAAGCCAGCGCTTAGCACAGTACCTGCACATAGTAGGTGCTTAATAACTGGCTTATTAAATGCCTGTTGGCTGAGATAATGGGAAAGACAGGCAACGCAGCCTCTTTGGAGGCCAACCTGCTAAGCCCAGTGACTGCATGAGCCCCAGGTTGGACCCCCGGGCCAGCATCAGTCTGCAATTATGTTTATATTCTTCTCTATATACATATTGTCGCTCCCATTTGAATGGATGCTCTCTGAAGGCAGTAACTCAGGCTTTCCAACTCCCAAACCACCGTTCATTCTATGATGGGAAATGCTCTAAGTCACCCGCCTCGCAGTCTGGAGGACAGGACCAGACAAGGCCAATCAACCAGGAGCGCCCTGTCCCTGAGCCTCAGCAGCAATGTTAGATATTCCTTCCTCCCCAAAGAACCACAGACTGGGCCTCGGCTGACTGCCCAGGACTATTTATTCCAGAATTTCAGGCAAGAAGCTGGAGGTATGGGTGAGGGCAGGGCGTGTTTGCAGGGTCACAGAACTGGGGGTATCTCAGGGGCCATGACCAACTGGGCAAGATGGGAGGGGCCGCCGTGATCCTCTCTTCAGGTCCCTTGTCGTCAGACGGAAGGCTCACTTCCAGCGGCCACCAACCCGGCCTTTGCCGGCCCCCTTCCGGCTGCGCAGGGAGATGGATGGGAGTTAGACCCATGGATGGACGAGGTCCCAGGAAGCCCACCTCCCAAGGTCTGCAAGTCCAGCCTCACAACCCCCAGAGCAGTGGTTCATGGGTGCTCCAGGACAGCTGATATTTTTGGGGTTAATTGAATCAACATGAGCCGTCACTATGTGTAGGGTGGTACAGTCCTTTGAGGCCTATTTCTTGCTTAATTATCATATCATGGTCAATGCATTTGGTGGGGCTTGAGTCCTATTTGTGAGCAAGAGAAGGCAAGGATCTAGACTGGCATATAGGATGGGGTGGGGAGGAAGAAAAGGAAGGAGGGGAAAGGGAAAATTGAAGTGGGGAGTGACATAGAGCCAGAGAGAGAGAGAGAGAGAGACTCAAGGAGAAATAGATGGGGAGACTGAGTGTGAGGCAGACATACCAAGGAAGACAGATAATGAGGGGGGCTGATAGACTTGGCCTGAGACAGAGACAGAGACAGAGAGTGAAAGGTGGGGGAGAGAGAGGCAGCAGGAGAGAGGGAGTGAGAAAGAGGCGGGGAGAGAGGGAAGAAGAGGGGAAGAGAGAGAGACAGGGAGAGAGAGACAGATGGACAGAGAGAAAGGTGGGAGAGAGAGGCAGCAGGAGAGAGGGAGTGAGAAAGACGCGGGAAGAGAGGGAAGAAGAGGGGAAGAGAGAGAGACAGAGAGAGCTGGAAAAAAACCCCAAATGAGAAGGTTGAGTTGCCAAAATCACACATGTCTACAGCCTCTCAGAGCTGGCAGGGACCTCAGAGTCAGCGGGTTCATCCGTGCCTGAGCAAGGAGCCACCCTCCCCCCAACACATTTGACAAGCAGCCGTCTCGCCTCCACTTGAAGACTCCAAGGAGGGGAAGCCCACTACTTCTCAGAGTAAACAGCGCGTTCCACACTGGGACTGCTTCCATCATTAAAAAGCTCTTCCCAACCTCCAAACGAAGTGGAACCTCCCCTCCCCCTCTCCCAGGTCGTGGTTCTGCTCCATGGGCCCAGAAGGCACAAGGTCACTCCCTCTCCTATTGGTAGTCCTTCAGACAGGAGAAGCCAGCCACCATATCCTAGCCCCACCCCCAGTCTTCTCTTTTCTACCCTAAATGTCCCCGATTCCTCCAGCTGTCCTGGGCAGAAGACAGGAGGCATCTTGGTTGCCTTTCCCAGCCTGGCTTCCCCCCAACCCGCGTCCATGCTAGCCTGCAGTGCCCAGAATTTACCAGGCCCATCCCACAGTGGCCTGACCCTGGCACCCTTTTACCCTCTCTGTGGCCAGGCCACTCTCTTCTCTGGGAGCTATGGTTCTAGGTCATTCCTTGGTTCTGGGCACACATGTCTCTTAATGCATTTCAACTGAATTTCCTTTTTTTGGCCTCTACGCTACATTGTTGCCTCATACTAAGCTTGAGGTCCGTTAACACCCCCAAATCTTTCTCAGATCAATGACTATCTATCCATGTCTCCCCTAACATGTATTTGTCAAGGGTTTTGATTTTGTTCACCCTAAGCACAAAATACTGACTCGGATTCTGCAGCGAATGAGTGAGCTCACAGGCTTTCAACGGTACACTGGCCTCCCACACCTTCTCATCTTGTGTGACTCATCTAGACTCTATGCCATCCTCCCGGGGACCTTTGGGTCCCAGCAGGGCACGTGACCAGCCCTTGCTCCTCCTCACGACCAGACCACTTCCTTCTCCCAGAGTTAGGTCTGTATGGTGTCATCCTTCGGCCCAACCGTGATGTTCAAGCCTTCCTCAATATTGTGCTGGGACCCACTGCAGCCAACTGTACCCTCCTCTATTGCCCTTTGGGGATCTGTCACCTCCAGCTCACTGGACATTGGACGATTCCATGGCTCTCAGCCAGAAAGCCCAAGAGCTTTGGAGCGGGTCACAAAGTCCACCCAACCTCCTCATCTTACTAACTGAATAAGCTGGGACCCAGAGTTGAACTGCCAAGGTCACCCAGCTAGTAAGTATATGAGGTCACCTTTGAAGCCATATTTTCTTCTTGACCTACTACATCACTACTTCTGCATGCCCAAAAGAATACCCTGCCTGAAGAGGTGGGCCTTGATTTCTGGTTTTTCGTGTTTTGCTTTTTGGTGAGGCATTTGGGGTTAAGTGACACGGCTAGTGAGTGTATGTACTGCGCCACCTCGCTGTCCCTTCCTTGATTTCAGAGAGCAGCCCTGCCCAAGGTCCCAAAGGCTGTGTAGCCTGGGCCCCATACTCCAGTCAGGCCGTGGTTGATCCACTCTGTGTGTGCGGTGTCGGTGGTTTATCCTTGGCTCTCGAAGAGGACCATGATGTCAGGAAGGTAATACCCTGACTTGAGAGTGAATCGGATTATGGTAAGGCAGGGCTGTGCAAGGTCACCAGCCTCACCTTCTCCTCCAGAGCCATCTGGGGCCAGTGGCCAGATGTCGATCAGGACCCCTGGAGGCAGCCCAGCAGTTAACCCACTATGGATGCACTGGAAGATCAGCCCTCTGGGCTGGCCATCCAGTGGCTTGTCACTGTGTACAATGCACACTCTTCATGCCCTCAGCTAACCCCCGTGAGGGCTATCTGTGTGACTTCCCTCCTTGGAGAGCTGTTTCTCATGTGTAAAACAATGACCTTGAACTCAGTGGCCTCTGAGGCACCTTCCAACTTGGCGTCTATGAGCCCATGACCCCACCATCATGGATCAAAGTGTAAGATATTTCTTCCCATGATTTTGAGATCTTCTGGATTCTGCCATCTGATATGGCAGCTATACTTGCCAGCCTTTGAGAAGGATGCAATCTAGGCCTTTATCCCAGTGAGCATGGGGGAGGTTATGTGCACGAGGCAAAGTAAGCATAGATCCCTGGGGCGCCCCACTGGAGACTTCTTTCAAAGATGACGCAGAGACGTTACTGACTGTTCTTTGATCTGGCCCCTCAACCAGTTCTGATGTCTCTACTTTCTAGCCTCCATCTCCCCATCTCTTCCACTGGAAGAGCTCACTACAGCATTTCCCTGATCTGCCAGGCTTGTAGTCCTGTCAAAAAAGGGAATGAGGTTAGTCTGGCATGACCAGCCTTGCTGGATTCTCTGATATCACAGCCTCCTTTTCTAGATGTCCACTCACTATCCCTTTAATAGTAAGTTCTAGGATCCTGATCAAAGTTGAAATGAAGCTCACTGGTTGAGGAAGAGAGAAGGAAACACAAGTACAGAGAGAGAAAAAGGCTACAGACTCTACTGAAGAGAGAGAGAGAGAGAGAGAGAGAGAGGAGGGAGGGAGGCAGGCAGAGATATGGAGAGAGAAACAATAGGATGTGGGGGGTAGCTCAGGTATTGGAAGAAGGAGGTGATTGCTGTGGACAAACAGGGGAGAGGGAGGGGCTGAGGCCGACTTACAACTTCTGGGCGTGGCTGATTCGGTTGTAGAGAACATTGATCTGCGGATAGAGAAGGACAGAGAGGTCATTTCAGAGGAATAAAGGATGACCACCCCAACCCACCTCCCTCAGGCTCCCCCTGCCCTCACCTCATACTTCTGCTGCCTAAGTTTCTCTGTGAGGTCAAACTTCTCCGACTCCAGCTGGTGAATCCAGTCGGACAGCTCACGGGCCTTCTCCCTGCGCGAGGGGGGCCGAGGACCATGGGTCCCACGGACCCCTACCCACTCGCAAACACCCCTCCCAATCCAACCCCACAGGTTCCCCCCTCCCAACTCCCGAGCCCCAGGCGCAGTGCACCCCTAAGTCCTGGCGCGATCTCCGTAACTTCTGTCCGGGATCTGTCACGACCGCTGACCTCCCCTCCCTCCCCTCTGTCCTATCTGTCTTTCGGGGTCTCTCCTTTTCTGTCTCGGCCCGTTTCTGCACAGAGCCGCTCTAGCTAGCTCTTCATATCTGCTCATCTCTCTGGCTCCACCTCCCTGTGTTTCTGCCTCTCTTGGCATAGTGATTCTCTTAAAGTGGAGATGGGCCCTCGTCGACCCCTACTCAGAGGCCCCCTATTGCCTCCAGGACGAAACAGAGGTTCTGCTTGGCCTTCCCAGGCCTCCTCCACCCGGCACCGCCCCGAGCTGCAGACCGACCTGGGAGCTCAGCGCTCCCAGGGTCTCCATTTGACAGCTGAAGGCACTAGGCTGGGAAAGGTTGGGCAATGTACCCCGCGGAGCGTTAGCGTAACTGGCGAGCCTCGGGCGCCCCCTGGTGGCACCGCGGCGTCATTCCTCTGCATTTGTTCATTACGTGCCCAGAAAACCACGTCTGGTCTTGTTACAGCATCAGCCCATTTTGAAGAGGGGTGTTTCGTTCTTTGTATTCATTTTCTCCACAGTGCCTGGCACAGAGCATATGCTTGTCGACTGACTGACCTCAGTCCCCCCAAGCCCCTCGATCTGCTTTTCTGTCTCTAAATCTGACTCATCTTCTATTATAATTTTCTCCATGTTTCTATATCCCTTTCTTTTATCTCTCTCTGTGCCTCCTCATCCCTGCCTCTGTCTCAGAACTTCTGTGTTTGTGTGTGTGTGTGTGTGTGTGTGTGTTTATCTGTCTGTCTCTGTCTCTCTCCTGTCTCCCTCCCTCCCTCTCTCCCTCCCCTCCATTTCTACCCCCACCTGAGCTGTTCCTCCCCCATGTGGTCGATATTCAGGGGTTTCTTCCGCTCAGACAGAATCCTCTGTTTCATCTCCCGCCCTGTCTGGCGTTTCCCACGCTTCTGCTCAGCCTGTTGGGGAGAGAGGATAACTGAGGAACCCCACTCCTGGATCCTCAGCCCTGAACCCCCACCTCCTTAGAGGCCCAGCCAGCCTCACCTTGACCAGGTAGCCCCCAAAGTGGGCCCCCATATTGGACAGGACCTTCTTTTTTTTGGCATCGTCTTCAGCCCGCTTCTTGGCCTCTTCCTCCTCCTTCCTCATCTTCTCCTCCTGGGGGGGGGGCGGGATGGGAGAGGTTGCAGAAAGAGATTGCACCAATTCCAGGGGACATATTGGGGTGGGGAGGGGGGAACCTGTTTTTCATATTCCTGAGATTTTTCACAGACTCTTCGAGGCCACTCTGGGTCTGGGGTCCCAGCTGGGGCTTTGCAGCTTGCCCTATCAGAATGTAAACTCCTGGGGGCAGGCACTGGTGAGACTGTATTCGTGTCCTCAGGGTTTGGCCCGGGGCTTGGTACAAAGTGAGCACCTTCTGGCTCATTCATTCATGAAGAAACTGAGGCCCAGATAGGCTCACCCCAGGCCTGAACCTGTAAGCTTTGCCTGGGTAGCAGACTTTGTAAATAAATGACCTCTGGGCAAAGTCAGAGCTCAAGGAATGAAATAACAGGAAGGACCCTTAGAGAAAGATGAGGGAAGCTGGGCTCAGGAAGGGTCAGGGCCAGAGGGCACACAAAGCAGAAAACAAGGGGCCCCAAGAAGAGGGGCTGGGGAGGGGGAGGGGAGCCCCACCGCCAGCTTGGCTTGGCGCTCTCTCTCCTTCTCAGTCCGGAACCGCTGTTGCTCTGCTCTCTCTGCTCTTCGGCGTTCCTGGAGGGAAGGGGGAGTGAGATGAGAGGATAGCCCCCCAGTGGTCCTCCCCAGCACCCCCACTTCCCCATGGCACCGCATAACTCCTAGGAGAGTCAGGAAGCAAGATTGAGAGGACGGAGAGGACATCAGAAGCTCTGATTTCTAGCTCTGACCCAGATTCATATGATTTTAGGGACATCCCTTCCTCTATCTCTTGGGGTCTCAATTTCCCCCTCCTAATAATAAGAATATTAGAACAATATTTCTATAGTACGTTAAGGTTGGCAAAGCACTTTACAATTATTATCTCATTGGATCCTGATAAAACAATCCCTGGAGGGAGGTGCTATTATTATCCCCATTTTACAGACGAGAAAACTGAGGCAGAGAGAGGTGGGGTGACTTACCTAACATTACAGAGCCAGTAAGTGTCTAAGCCTCCTAGGTGCTTCTAAATAAGGAAGGCATTCCATGCTCTCTAGAAGTCCCAGCTTACAGAGTGACCTGGACTTCTGCACAAAGTCACTGGACCTCCCTGGGCCTTGGTGGAGCTCATGATCTCAGGTCCCAGGAGCTACAAGCTCTATGTCTATGAACCTGTGATCTCTCCAGTCACAGGGCTGGAGGTGGAATCGCAGACCTGGGCCTGGGCCAACCTCCTCGGAGGTCCTCGGGGCCTGGTAGGAGCTTGGGCAGGTCCCCTTCCCTATCCATGAGGCCGGTGACTGTCCCCATGGGGGGGCACCCAACACTCACTATCCGATCCTTCAGCCCCACGAGCTCCTCCTCCTCCTTCTTCCTCTGCTCAAAGTGCACGTCGATGAGTGTCTGCAGCTCCAGCAGGTCCTTCTCCATGCGTTTTCGGTGGATGTCCTAGGGGTGACATTTGGGGCCAAGGAGCTTGGAGGGGGCCTTGTTTCTGAGGTCATTATGTCGGGTCTTTTAGCACTGCCTCCCAGGCTTCCACCATTCCAACCCAGCAGCCACTTACAAGTTTTGAATGTGCAGTCTTCCGGTGGCCTCTGGGAGACCAGGCTCAGTGCCTGGATTTCCCACTTTGAGGCTTAGGGCTTCAAGGGGCAGGCCTCCGGGGTGAAAGGGCTGGTGCTAACCAGCACCTGCTTGAGATCCCTCCCCCCAGCAGAGTAGACAAGAAGCTCAGACTTAGACTGGAGGTGCAAACTTAAAGCCAGGCACACTGGAAGCCCCTAGAGCCATGGGTCCCCTCCCTTCACTCACATCGAAATCAACTCTCTCTCCCTCGGGGATCTTTGGAGGGATCAGTGGAGGCACCACAGGCCTGCTGGGACAGGGGAGAGAAATACAGGTGGGGTTGGAGGATGCCTCAAAATTAGTGCTAGGATCCCCTTGCTCCCTTCTCCACTCTTCCACCAAACCTTGAGCAGATAAGAGACAGAGCTGTATCTTTCACAAGGCTCCAAGAATCTGCCCACCCTTGGTGTCATTAGGAGAGTGAGCCCCTGAGTGCCATTTGGAACCTTCCTTGAGACTTGGGGAAGGACTATAGCGGGGGTTTCAGAGGAAGGTTCACTATATTAACTTGGCCAAGTCCCATATTCTTTCCTGGGCCTCGTTTTCCCTCTATCTACAATGCAATAATTAACCAGAAATTTCTTAAGCACCCTTCCTGTATTCACTGGGTCAAGGTCCTCTGCGTGACCTCTCTTTCTGAGCCCCACCTCTCCCATCTGTGAAATGGGAGAGAATTAGTCACAAAGACCCTTCAATGTCTTTCCATCGTTGGTATTCTTCACGGTTTGGGGAGTCTTTCTGGGTGCCCAAGCATTCTGCCATTCACACTTAGGACAGATGCTCACCTGGGTTTGGGTCGCTCCTCTTCTGTAAGGAGGGAGTTGAAAACAGAAAAAGATAATTAGAGAGGAGAAATTGGGTTGGGAGACTAATGCCTCCCTTGATCCTAGGCCCCAGGAGGTTTGGGAAGGGTCCAGGTTTCTGGGTACCGAGTCCTCTTGCCCTCAGGGAGGAAGGTAAAAGGGGTAGGGGAGCAGAGCTGGGATCACACAGCGATCATATACATTCACAACTTGTTGGGGGGAGGGGTTCCCCACCCCTCCAGGAAACCATGTTTCCTGTCTCCCAGGTCCTTCCTGCTCAGGGACCCAGATATCCCCTCCAAAACCCATTCCTCAAGGACCCATTAGTCCTGGCCCCCATGCCCTCAGGGACCCAGGTGCCCCATTAGGAATTCAGATATCTCCCAGTCTCCACTCACCCCCAGCACTTCAGGCATCTAGGGTCTCCCAGCCTTCAGCTTTCTTAGGGACCCAAGTCCCCTCCCACCTGTCACCCGACCCCAAACCTTTGAATGTATATCGAGGAAAGAAGAGGACAGGTGTGGGAAAGGGAGGAGTGGGTGCGGCCCCTTTAAGGGGGGCATGGTTATTGCTTAGAGGGCGCCTAAGGGGCGCTTAAAGGGGCCGCGGCCTGGATGGGATTTCCCCCCCACCCCGGTTCCCGGAGACGGAAGCTAAGCGACCACCATACCTCGCTCTGCGACCGGCTCCGACTCCTCGGGGGCTGGGGTAGGGGAGAGGGAGAAGCGAGGAATTGGGGGAGGGGGAACGGCCCCGCCAGCGGTGCAGGGGGAGGGAGAGAGAGGAGAGGCTGTTAAAGGGGAGAATCCGGTGCCCAGGGGAGAAGTCCCACCCCTGTGTGACCTTGGAGGCCCTTTTGCCTCTCTGGGCTGCGGAATCCTCGCTGCCACCACCCAGCCCCCAAATGTAAACTAGGTATCCTTGGACTCAAGGATCTCTAAGCACCTTTCGGCCTTCGGGCTTCACGCAGCAACAAAAACCTGGGTTCCGGTCACCACCCCTAATTCAGAGACCCAAGCATCCCTCTTCCCCAGTCCCGTTGAGCTCACCCTCCTCCTCCTCCTCGGCGGCCTCCTCTTCTGAGGGAGGGGGGCAGACCGGGTAGAGAAAAAGGAAAAGGATTGTCTTTGAGAGGGGGAGGTGGACAGCATCGTGGTACTGAAAGAGTTAACAGTGTTTCCTTCTCTCGGCTCTCAAGACCCTCTCCCCTGGCCTTAAGCCCTATGGGCGCCTTGGGAGCCTTCAGTGCCATTCGTGAGTTCAGGGAAATCGCAGAGTACAGGACCCAGGTGTCCAAGCCCCATTGGTCACACCCTCAGGACTCAGCGGTCCGAATCTTCTGTTCCCTCTGGACCCCGAGTACCTCGACTCACCTTCCTGCTGTTCCCTGCAGATTGGGACAGGAGAGAGGAAGAAGTTAGATCCAGACACCAAGATGGACCCTTTCCCCATCCCCTTACTCTCTGCCAGCTGCCCCCTCCCCAAACTTACTCCTCATAATCCTGCTCCTCTGTGTCTGACATTGTTGGAGTAACCTAGAGAGAGAGTGAGAAGAGATGTGAGAAGGACCAGAACGTTTGTGTCCCTGAAGGATGGGAGCTGGGGATCTCTGGGGCCACTAAAGTGATGGAGTGGGGTGGGGGTGGCAGCGTTAGAGGCCCCTCCCCCACCATCTCCACCACCTGTCCTTTGGTCTCGGGGCACTGGGGGATGGGAAGGAACCTGATCGGGGAGATTATCTCTAGGCATTCTTGGGACAGACAATAGCCACCCCCAGTTCCCTCTCCTAGCCTGTCAGAAGCTATTTCTGGGGGTCTCGGGCCAGGGCCAAGGCTAGGGATATGTCCGAATAAGGATCGAGTTGCCCGCAGGCCCTGACTCAGAACTGCCCTTGTCTCCCTTCAACAAACCCCTGACCTTAAGACTATTCTTTCAGACCAACCACCAACCCACCCCAGTCTCATATTCTTAGGAGTTGAATGAATTCTGGCTTCCCCTACTCCAGTAGGGGATAGATAGAGAAACTGAGTCCTAGAGAGGGAATGGAATTTTTCAAGGTCATAGTCAAGTCAATAGTACTAAAAAAGAAGGTTCCTGGCAACCAGTCTTCCTCCTGCCCACCCCACCCCTTCACCCTCACCCATTCCTCTTGGAATGGGCAGATCCGCAGGTTTCCTCTCAACACATACACAAACCCCAACCCTTACTGTAAATTGTTTCATCTGATTCCCTGTCTCTCACCGTTTATGACTGCATCTGTCTAGGACTGTCTAGCTCCGTCTCTCACTGTTTGCCTGTCTCTGTCTCTGTCTCTGCCTCTGTCTGTCTCTGTGCCTGTCTCTCTTACTCACTCTCTCCCCATCTCTCTCCCTTTCTCTCCTCTGTCTCCCACCCACAGAATCTCAGAGCTGGAAGGGACCTCAGAGGCCAATTATTCCAACCTATACCTGAACAAGAATAACAAATAGCATCTGGGATATCTCAAGCAATGGATCATTCAGCCTGAAGCTCATCCAGCATAGGGAACTCGCTCCTCCCCCTCCCCCCCCCAGTCCTTCCCACTCTCGGAGACAGCTTTTATTGAGCAGAAATCTGCCCTGATGCAACGTCTCCTTCTTTCCCTTTCTTTGTACATCTCCCTCCCTGGGTCTCAGCCTCCCCTTCTTTCTCTCTATTTGCATAGATCTCCCAGCATAGTGGCTGGCTTGGGTGAGGGGGTCAGCAATGATGGCATGGGGGGTGGGAAGGCTTCATTACCTGGGGCTGAGGCTTCGGTAAAGCACGAGGGTTTGATTGAGGCTGGAACAGTTGCTGTGAGTCAGGGACAGAGAAGCTTTATAGCCACAGCCTGGGGGAGGGGAGAAGCCTCCAAAGATATCCCGGGGTCTCTGAGGCAGAGCTAGTTATGGGCTCCTCCTCCTCCTCCTCCTCCCTTCAACTTTGGCATCACCCTCCATTTCTGACTCCTTTTCTCTCTGTCTCCCCTCCTGTCTGTTGTGTCCCTGGATCCTTTCTGTCTGTCTTTCTGTTGCTTGTTTTTCTAGCCTTCCTGGGTGATAGGGGAGGAGGAGAGGGTTTACCCCTCTTCTATTGTTTTCAGACTCCTTTCCTTTTTTCCCTTGTATTTCTTTCTTTGGGTTTTTCAGTCTCTTTGTGTCCCCATAGACCCAGACTCTTCTTTTCTTTCTTCCTTTCCTTCCTTCTTCCCTCCTTCCTTTTTCTTTCTTTCTTTCTTTCTTTCTTTCTTTCTTTCTTTCTTTCTTTCTTTCTTTCTTTCTTTCTTTCTTTCTTTCTTTTTCTTTCTTTCTTTCTTTTTCTCTCCTCTCGGTTTCCTTCTCTCCAGTCACACATCCCCACAGGCCCATTTCTCACCCCAATCCATCCTCTACTCAGCTAACAAAGTCAGTTGTCTAAAGTGCAGGTGTCTTCTCTGTCTCACCCTGTTTCTGTCTCTCTGTCTCCTTTTCCCTCTAGTGGCTCCCTATTACCTTCAGGATCAAATATAAAACAATCCTGTTTGACTTTTAAAGCCATTCATTGACACCTTTAGTCTCCCACACACACACATCCCTTTCCATCTTCTTCCATTTTACTCCCCTCCATATACGATATGAACTGAAGAAACTGACCTTCTTACTATTCCTTGGACAGCACATTTGATTGCCCTAGGTGTCCCCCGTGCCTGGAATGCTGGCCCTCCTCAGCTCCAGTTCCCAGTCTCCCCACCTTCCTTCAAGCATCCACTCCAATCCCACCTTGTGCAGGAAGCCCTCATGTCTCCTCCCCAACTGCTGGTGCCTTCCGTCCCAGCTTACCCTCCACTGATGTTATCACTTGTGTATACCTAGTGGTGCACCTCTTGTCTCATCTGTGAGACTGTAAGCTCCTGGGGGAAACCCACTGCGTTTTGCCTTTTGATTTTATCCCCATTGATTAGCACCAGTCTGGCACAAAGTAATTGCTTGAAAATGCTTCTTGGCTAACCCATCCATCTCTGCACTCTCTCCCCCACCTGTTTCTGTTCTGTCGTTCACACCCTGTCTCCTTCTGCCTCTGTGTCTCTTTCTCCCTCTCTGTCTCTCTTTTTTCTTTCAGTCTATTTCCTTCTCTTTTCTGTGGTCCCTAAATTGCTTTGTCTCATAGACTTTTAAAAGTTGAATGAGTCCTCCACGACCATCTAATCCAACTCATACCTGACGACTGACTACCTTCTCCCATAAATGCAGCAATTCATCATTCAGTCTCTACTGGAAGCCAAGGAGGAAATCCATTTCACTTTGGATCACTGCAACTGACTTTTTCCTGACACCTAATGCAAGTCCACCCATCATGCCTGGTTCTGCCCATTCCTCTTCCCCAAGATAGCCTTCAAAGAGGTGAACAAAGCTCTTTCTGCTACAAACCTTTCCATGCCAAACATTCCCGGTTCCTTCAACTAGTTGTCATAGATCATGAATTTACTTTTTCCTCCTATCTGGTTTTTTATTGTCTCTATCTCTACGAGTGTCTCTGAGATCTCTCCATTTCTATCACTGGCCACTAATGTTTGTTTCTCTCATTGTCTCCTCTTCCCCACCCCCCTCTGCTTTGTCTCCCATCAACATTTCCCTTTGGTGACATCAGGACCTAAATGGAGATGACAGGTGTGCGGGTGGGGTGGGGAGGGTGTCCTGGCATGATGGATACAGGCAGATCAGATCCAGGCCAGTTCTCAGCCTGAAGCCATGCCCCCCATGACCCTGATCTATCTGGCTCCAGGCTGGCCTGGCCAGGTCCCTGGAATCCCTCATCTCCCCGGTAACTGATGCTCCACCAGAGCTTTGATGGGTCCTAAATAAAACTATTGACTGACAGAGCTGGAAAGGCCCTTAAAGATCACTGGCTATAACAGTAATACTCTGTAATACGAGGAGGCACCTGCCAAAGGCTCCCCAGGAAGGAAAAGGCAAAGCTGAGGCTGGAACCCAGACCCTCCTCTGACTTCAGATCAGGGGCTCTGCCTCTGCCCCCCACCCCATGCCAGGATCACAGAGGCCTCCAAGGTCACTCCTGCCTGCACAGCTATCATTGAGACTAACAGAGTGTAGGGTGACCTCCATTGAAGCTTCAGTGGCTCCTGTGGCCACATGTGGCCTTTACGGCATCCACAGTTTGGTTGGCACTCCCCTGTGAGCTCTAGGCTCTATGCAGGTTAGCCTTCATCCCAGTCCTCTATGCACAGACTTTCCCACCTCCAAGCCTTTGCGTGCAATGCTGTCCCTCCTCATTGTTGCTTCTTAGGATCTTCCAGCTCTGTTCAGTCTGTCCCGACCCACCCAGCCCATCCCTGGGTATTTATTTTATGTACGTCTGGTATTTATTTAGAGGCCCTCCTGGATTCTAGAAGAATGTAGCCTCGCTGAGGGCGGGAATGGCCTCACTTTGGGTTTGCCTTCCCATGGCTTAGCTCAGGGTCATGCCCTCCCTGCTGATTGTCTGATTGATCGAGACACCCTCCCATAGACACCTGACCCCCTCCCTTAGACAGGGAAAGAGCTCCAGACTGGGCAAGTTCCTTGTTGAAGATGTAATAGGAAACAGCAGAATCACCCTGCTGGAAGGCTCGCCAGATCCCTGGGTACAGTCCTCCACCAAGGCCACAAGACAGCTCAGGACAGAGTCAAGATGGTACAATGTAGACCATCAGAGTTACAAGGGGCTTTGAGATCATGGGGTTTCCCCATGCTTGCTTTACAGGTAAGGATATTGTGGCTCAGAGAGGGCTCCAACCTGCCTGGGAGCACACAGTGCTTTCTGCCCAGACTCCACTCAGGTTGCCTTTCTCCACCGGGGGTTCCCAGGGTGACTTCCCCAGACACAAACTCCATAACCTGACTCAGACAGAGCTTTATTCAAGGCTGGGCATGGGCCCAGGTTTGTTGGGGGGCAGACCACTGTTTGACCCCATCAGCCTTCAAACTTCTTCTTCCGCCCTTCCATCCCGCTCAGGGCGTCAATGTTCTTTCTCCAGTCTCCTACTTCTCGGCTTTCCTGCAGGGAGGAGGCCCCAGTCAGGAAGCTGCTTCCCAGGCCCTGCATGAGGCCCTGGATGGCTTCCTCCTCCCCACACCCCACCCCTCAGTTCATTTGTCCACTCTGCTTTGCTGAGGGCTCACTTCCAGCACCTTGGTTTCTTCCTGGTTGATGGCACCCCAGCTCCCAGCTCCTATCCCCCATCTCCCTGCCTTTGAGCTGACTGCTCCCTTCTTTCCTTCAGGGCTCAGCTACATGGCTACATGCAGGGGCTCTGGGCTCCAGGGTAAGCCCCAGAGATCAGAGACTCTGTCTTTGTGTCCCAGGCCCTCAGCACAGTGCCCGGCCTGTAGTAAGGAGGTGGGTGGCGGATGCTTGACTGAGTGAGGGAGGGAATGTCCCAGCCAGTCTCACCTTCTCTGTGTCATCCTTCTTCACCTGCTTGAGGTGAGCCCTGAGGTCCAGGGACTCTTTGGCTCGGGCCCCCAGCAGGGCCTGCATCATGGCATCTGCTGAGATCCGCACCCTCCGCAGGGCTGGGCGCTTGAACTTCCCCCTCAGGTCAAAGATTTTCTGATTCAGATCAGCAATCTGGGGAGTGAGGCAGGAGGGGAGCAGACGTGGATTCCTCACCCTCAGTTGTACGCCCCTCCCCTGTGTGCCCCCAACAATACAGCCAGAATTGTGGGCAGAGCCCCATGCCGAATCAGAGGACCCACATTCAAGTCACTGCTTTGACACTAGCTTCCTGACCGGAAACAACTTCCTGTCCCTCTCTGAGCCTCAGTTTCCTCATCTGTAAAACTCAAGGGGTTGGACTAGATAATGTCTAAGGGCTCTCCCAGCTCTCAATCTTGTAAGCCTGGAAAAACAAGTCACTCCATCTTACTGAGCCTCAGTTTCCCCATCTGTCTAAAGAAGATAACCCTCCCACAGCCTCTTGGCAGACTTGTTACGAGAGACATAGTTTGTAAGCCCTATAAACATTCTTTTGTTGTTAATAATATTATTTTTATAAATACTAGTTGAGGTGAATCCAGCCTCCCACATTTTCCTCACATACACATTTTCCCTGACTATCCTTCCTCACCTCTGCCTCCCAGCTTCCTTTAGGTCCTACCCAAAGTCCTGCCTTCTCCTGGAAAGCCTTTCCTGGTCCTCCTTTATCTCTGGGCCTTCCCTCTGAGACTGCTTCCCATTTCTCCTGCCTAGACATTGTCTGTCCATAACTGTTCATCCTTCTTTGTATCTCTAGTGCTTAGCACAGTGCCTGGCAACTAGCAGGCCCTTAAAGAATGTTTGTTGACTGACTGACCCTCCCTACCATTCATGGGAAAGCAATCTCATTCTTAGTATTAGTCAGTCAGTCAATAAACATTTATTAAGCATCTACTGTGTGTCAGACACTGGGCTAAGCACTGGGCATACAAAAAGAGGCAAAACACAGTTCCTGCCTCCAAGGAGCTCACAAATCTAATGGCAGAGACAATATGCAAACAAATTTATACAAAGTAAGCTATATACAGGATAAATAAGGAAATAATTAACAGAAGGAGGGCACTAGAATTAAGAGAGGTTGGAGAATTCTCAGAGACTCTGGGAGTTTAGCTACAAAGGGCAGAAGAGATATAAGACCATAGTCAGCAGGGGATGAAAGATCAAGGGAGGGTTTATTCAGTAGGAGGAGACATGGGCACGTTTGTAGGCAGTAGGGAATGAGCTAGGAGAGAGAGAAAGAAGAAAGTGAAAGAAAGGGATGACAGAGGGGTCAGTCCATTGGAGGAGATGGGGTGGAAAGAAATCACCTGGGCAGGTAGAGGGGTCAGCCTTGGTCAGGAGTAAGAGCACCCCTTCGTGTGAGATGGGGGAAGGAGGAGAGAGGGGCAGAAGATGCCCGAGTGATAGGAGATAGGGAAGAGGGGAGGAGAAGAGGAAGCTCATGGTGAATGGCCTCCAACTTTCCAGTAAAATAGGAGGCAGGATCTCAGCTGAGAGAGCAGGGGGAGGGGGAACCATAGGAGGTTTGAGGAGGAATAAGAAGATTTAGAAGAATCACTGTAGACAATGGAAGAGTGAGTTAATAAGGCAGGTGTAGCAGGATTGCCTGGCAGCAGTGAGGGCTCAGTGGAGGTTGTATAGCAAGTTTGTAACAGGTCCAGTCAGAATGGTTGCATGATTCTCTCCACCTTCATCAGCAGCATGTGTGTAGGAGTGAATGGTGGGAGTGATCCAAGGTTGAAGCTTGGACGCAATAGGCAAAAATGGTAAGGGGACTAGCAATCTAAGAGGAACACAGTGTGGAGTGGAATTGGTTCACCAAGGGACTAAAATGGGGAGAAGAGAGAGTGGCTGGAGCAGGGGAGATGGCCTGGGAGAGGATTGTGGAGTCAAGGGCTTGGAGGTCACGGTGAGGATGAAGAGCGGTTATGTAAGGGGAGGCAGAGGGAGAGGTGAAAACCCAAGAGATTATGGTCAGATAAAGGGACTTCAGAAATTTTGAATATGGCGGTACATTTGTGTGTGGCTGAGGCAGGGTGGCAGAGTGGCTCCTGAGAAATGAATAGGTGGAGGAACTGATCAGTCAGGGTGTTTGATGGAGAGTCCCTATGTATGTTAAAGTCCCCTAGGATGAAGGCAGGAGTTGGGGAGAAGAGCAATATTGTGAGCCAGGGACCAAACTCATCGAGGAAGGAAGGGGACACGACAGCTCTCAGGATTTTGACTGGGTGGGACATATGACTGGCATGAACTGCAAAGTAGGAGAGGCTACTGAGGGATGGAGGAAGGGGGAGAACCTGGAAGCAGCTCAGGGGAACCTTGACCAGTGAGCCGCGGAGAATGAATGAAGGTGCGGCCAGTTCTGGAGAGGGCAGCCAGGGAGGCTGTGTCTTCAGGGAGAAGCCAGGTTTCAGTACGAGTGGATAGATGGAGTGGGAGAGGAAAAGATTGAAGATGAAGCGAAGGAACAAGCATGCCAGAGGGCACAGTGGAAGGGCTGGCTGGAGTTAGGTTGGAACTTCGGGGTGGGAGGTCGCTGGGATGGGGAATCAGGTGGGAGGGAGTAAGTTTGGGTCATAACCTACAGGAGCTGAGTCACTGGGATGTGAAGGGTATGACCAGGTGTGGGAATGGAGGGCACCCCTCTGCCCTCGGAGGACAGGCACAGCAGGAGGTAGAAAACCTGCAGTCAGGGGGAGTTCCGCTCTGCTGTGCCCTGTGGGGAGACTGGGAAGATGCAAGGCTCAGGGCACCCTCGGTCTGAGGTCGTCTCCCTTCGGAGGCTGGCCACGAGGGGGCAGCAGGAAGTGACAAACTCCTTGTACTGAGGGAAGCTCTTTGGGGCAGCTGGAAGGTGCCCTGCCTGGCCTCTAGAAGCCTTTCCTCAGGGGACAGGCTGCTTGGCATGAAATTATAGGCTTGGAAAGAATCCAGGGCTAGTAGGCTAGAGATCTGGACATGTCTGCTCTCCACCTGGCATGGGCAGGACTCTTCGCTCGCTGGGGCTCAGAACGAATAATCTCTGAGCATGCCCTTCACTTTGGTCCTCTGGGACATCAAACAGATTCCTGGCTCTCGTACCCTGTCTCTGAATGACTTGATATTCTGAAGAGAAGGGCTTGGTCCCACAGGGATAGATGGGTCCTTCCCTTCCGAGGACTTGTCCAGCTCCTTCCTCTGTAACGCCAGGGGCGCGGACCCCCAGTCCTCCTTTGGCTGACTCTCGTTCCCTGACCCTAGGCCACGTGCTCACAGGTAATCATCCTGTCCCCCTTTGCTCCCTACCTCGGTGACATTCTTCGTAACTTTTGCCTCCAAATCATATCTCTCTTCATCCACCTTGTCCACTCTGGCATGAAGTTCCCGACACAGCTCCTGAGGGAAGAGGGGAGGACACCTGGTTCCCCACAGGATATCTTCTGGGGGCTTAATGCCAGGCACCCTGGGCGGGGAGTAGGGTTGAGACAGATCCCTGGGTCCCTGATGGAGGCGGGGAGGGGGAGCCAGGACCCCCGCGTCTCCTAATACCTGCAGCTCGGCGACCCCGAGCCCGGCCAGCTCCACCGGAGCACAACGCTCCCCGAGCACGCGGCCCTTCTCCCCACGCCGATCGTCCCCCTCTCGCTCCAACTCCTGCTTGGCAATCTGCAGCATCAGGGTCTGAGAAGGAAGGAGAGCCCAGCTGGGAGGCGAGCAAAGCCACTGCCTAGGGAAGCTCCCTCCCCGCAGCCCTCCGCCCGGCTGTCCGGCTTGTGCACTCCCAGAACTTCCCACGCGCGGCTTGAGTGACTGACCGATCGCTCCTTCCCAGGTCCCGCCCCTCACCTTCAGCTGCAGCTTCCGAGAAGCCGAGATCTTGGACTTTTTCTGCGAGAGGCAAAGACTGGGGTCAGGATGGGGAGGGGAGAGAAACCTAACCTGGGGGGAGGGGAGCTGGAATTCAATGGTGGGGCAGAATCCCCAGGGGGCAGTTAGAATTCGGGGCGGGGCCAGAGGCCCACGGGATGGGGCTAGTGTTTTGGGGGCGGGGCAGAAACCCACGGGGTGGGACTGGCGTTCTGGGGGCAGAGCCAGAAACCCACGGGGTGGACTAGAGTCCTGGGGCGAGGCCAGAACCCCAATGCCCCTACAGAATCGGCCGTGGGACGGCAGGGCTCCGAGGGCCCCAAGGGCCCGGGTCCCTCCACCACTATCACCAGAGTTCACATCCCTCACAGAGGTACTGGCTTCTCACCTTGGCATGAGGCTCGGTGGCATAGGCGCGGTAGTTGACGGAGGAGCGGCGTCGAACTGGGGGTGGCGCTGGACTGGGTGCAGGTGGCGATCCCGCCGGGAACTGGAGAAGACCCGGGTCAGCTGGGCTCCGAGGCCCTATGCCCGAAGGGTCGTCTCTTCTAGGAACCCCAGGGCCCCGCTCCCCGCCCAAGGGAAGCCCAGGCCTGCAAGCCTCCACCCCACGTCCTCGAGGTCCCCGGTGTCCTCATCCCATCCCTCTCCCTCTTCAGGGATCCAGGAGTCCCTAACCCCCAGCTCCAAGGCCCCCTTCCCTTCTCTCCTTTTCTCACCGTGTCGCTGCTCCTGTAGAGAGAAGGGAGGGAGGATGTTACTGCACAGGTGGTGGGCAACCAGCTTCCTCCTCCCTACCCTCTCAGGTCCAGGACAAACCAGGACAAGTGTAATTCTACACAGGGACCTTGGCCTTGATTCCCGCCCCTCCAGGGCCCAAGCGTCCTTGCCACGGAGACTAACACTCACTCCTCTGCCATGTCGGAAGAGCACTGGACGAGTCTCCGGGATGACCTTGGGGGGCTGGGGTCCGCTAGCCTCTGCTCTCCTCAGGCTCCTCTGGGAACACTGCGATAAAAGCCGAGCCTGAGGCTAAATATACTGTCTGCTGGTGAGATAAGGAGGCGCGGAGGGGGAGGCAGATGTCCCGTGTCTGGCCGTTCCTTTCCTCTCTCAGGTCCCACCTCCATAGGGAACCAAGAGTCCTGACACGCTAGCCCCTCCTCCCTCGGGGAAGCTGAGGTCCTGATCATCTGACCCCCCTCTTTTGGGGACTCAGAATGTTCTTGTCCTGTTTCCTCCCCCGTAAGGAACCTTGAGCCCCATTGCATCTTCTCTCTGGAACCCAGGGATTCTCATTCCCTAGAGCCTTCCCCTTTGGGGCCTGGACTTCCTAGTCCCCAGCCCCTTCTCCCTTGGGGACGCACGGTTTTGATTCCCCAGGCCCTCCCCCCTCCAAGGCCAAGGCACCTTGAGCCTCAACCTATTCGGTCCCCGAAACCCAGGCGTGTTGCTCATCTAGCGCATTCCTCTCTCAGGGACGTCGTGAAACCTAGACCCTCCTCCCTCTGGAAGCAAGGCGTCCTGAGCCCCAGATCCATTTTTCTTGGGGACCCAGGAGTCCTGAGACCTATCCTCCGTTCTTAAGGGGGAGGCGACGTATCGCACTCCTCTCAGATCACAGACTGATGATAGGGTCAGACTCTCTTTATTCTAACAAGTCCTGACTCCCTGGGAGGTCAAAATCCTATGAGCCTCAGAATTCCAGGGGAGCAGGATCCAAATCCTGGGGCCAATATAGTCGTGGGCGGTGGGGGGAGGGGCAAGGGAGAATTCGGGGACTAAGGGGTCTCAGCTAGAATTCGGCGGTGAAGTCAGGGTCGCATGAACCTGAGTATCTGGAGCCAAACGCAGAATTGTCGGGTTGGGGGGGGGAGGTTCGGGAATACAGAAGGTGGGGTCAGAGTCTTGGGGAAGATGGGTGACCGGGCTCCCCAGAGGGCATTCCAGGATCATCAGTACCCCGGGCAGGGATCAGAATGCCAGAGAGGGCGGTGTCGGAGTTCCCAGGGGGCGGAGTCAGAATTCTAGGGGGGTCAGGTTCTGCATCCATAGGCAGGCTCAGAATCTCTGAGGGCGGAGTCATGGTGTCAAGGGGCGGGCTCGGAATTCCGGCTATAGCAGGACTAGTGGGTGGTCTAAGAACGCCAGAGGGTGCGAGCTCCGAATCCTCAAGGGGCGGGGTCAGCACAGGAGCATCGTCATTTGATGAAGGGCTCAGAATTTCAGAGGGGGAAGGCTCTGAATCCTCATTTGATGATGGGCTCAGAATTTCAGAGGGGGCTGGCTCAGAGGCCCCAGGAGGCGGGGTCAAAATCTCTGAGGGAGGAGTCAAGCTATCAAGGGGCAGGGCTTCGGCCTTCTGACTTACACCCCAGGCACCCTGGGGAGGTGGGCTATCCAGGCCCGGCTGGGGCTTGCGGGAGAAGCGGGCGAAGGTTTCGGTGGGACCCTCGTGGGACTCTGGTACGAAGCCAGAAGCCTCAGCTAGCTCCCGGACCCGACCAGAGAAACTCTCTAGCTGTTTAGGCCGCAAGTCCACAAGGTACCTGAGGACAGACGGGAGAGAGTCAGGGAACCAGGAGTCAGGGCTCTCAGGCCGTGCCCCCACTCCCTCAGCACCCTGGGAGTGCGGACAGAGCTCACCTGGCCAATTCCACCATCAGGCGTCCCCCAGGAGCCACGCAGGCCCCGAGCTCCGGGCTCAGCTGGTGAACCATCCTGCAGAAAGATGGATAAGGACGAATCAGGACGCCTGGTTCCCCAACCCCCCAGGAGAAGAGGGCTAGAGAACAGTGCTCCTAGGTTCCCCGAGGGAGAAGAGGGCAGGGAGATCTGTGGCCCTGGATCCCTGAGACACGAAGGGCTGGAGATCAGAACCCAGGTCACTGAGGAGGAGGTCTGAGGGACAGGGACTCCTGGGGTCCCCGGGAGGACAGGGCAGGGGGATCAGTGCTTCTATGTCCCTGAGGGAGGAGGGACTGGAACAATGAGGATGTTTGTGTGTCTTCCCCCTGGTTCCTGGAGAAGAGGCTTGGGGATCTGTGCTCCTAGGTCTCTCAGAGAGGAGGGGTTCGGAATAGGGACATCGGAGTCCCTCAGAGAGGAGGAGAGGGCTGGAAGAATCAGAACACCTGGATCTGAGGAAAGAGAGGGCTGGAAATCAGTACTCGGGTTGACTGGGGTGAAGTTTAGGGAATAAAGATTCCTTCTGGAAGGACGAGGGAAAGGGGCTGATGGCTCAGGACGCCTGAGTCCCTGAAGGAAGAGAAAGAGGTGACTCAGGACGCCTTGGGTCGGAGGAAGGGCTTAGGGCCTTAAGGCTGACTACTGGATCCCTGAGGCGACCTGGGCTAGGGGCACAGGGGAACCAGCTCTCAGTTACCCGCAGGACACGTAGAGAAGGTGGAAGCGGCTGCGGAAGTGATTTCGATGGTGCAGGCTCGGGGCGGCCCCCAGGGGCAGGAAGTGGACCCGGAAAGGTCTGGAGCTCTCGGGATCTGAAGCCGAAGGAGACCGGGAGAGAAAGACAGGCACTTAGTGCCAGAGAGAAAGGAGAGGAGGAAAAAGTAGAGGAGGAAGAGAATGGCATCGGGGACACTACACCTCTCTTTCCTTGAAGCCCTCGCACAACCAGCCTTGACCTTCCTGTCCTGTCCTGTTACACACATGTACACACCATGAACATGCATACATACGCACACGGCCCCTCCCCAACCTCCAATCCTGGGTGAGAAAGGCTTGGGAAAACTTATAGACAGGACTCTGATCTTCCCTCCCTCTAGTCCAGGCGTTGACCCTGACCCTCCCCGTGTCCTTGGGCTAGTTCTATCCCTCCTCTTGGCCTCAGTTTCCCCTCTGGGAATCCAGATGGTCTCTAAGAGCTTTAAGTGGGGGAGAGGGAACCGCTAGTACTCGGAAGAAGGAAAGTTTGGGGAGCCTCCTGTCCTTTCTCACCAGAACCCGGGGCCCCGGCCTCCGCCTCGACCTCAGGTTCGGCCCCAGACACCTCCTCCCGGGCTGCCACTAGGCTTCGAAACAGCGAGGTGACATTGTGCAAGGAGATCTCACCAGCGCACTGTGGGAGGGACAGGCAGTAAATGTGGGAGGAGCCTAGAGAAAACGGGCGGAGCCATGGAGTGGCGCTGTTGGGGGTTGGGGGGGCCGGAGAAAGCGAAGGCTCCGAGAAAAGGAGAGAGACATAGATGGGGATGGGGTCTGAAGTCCTCCCGGCGGAAGGTGGAGAGATACTGGGACCATAGACCCTGAGCTCGAGAGAATCGCAAAGACAAAACGAGAGAGTGCCAGCGACACTGAGCGTGAGACTGAGTCACTGAGAGGGGGAAGACACAGATAGAAAGACTGAGGGAGATGGAACCAGAGATTCTGAGTGTAAGAGATAGAACCATTCAAGAAGGGGGAGGAGACAAGGACAGAGAAAGAGAGGCAGAGACAAAGCAAGAGATAGAGAGTCAAGAAGGCCTTAGGTCTGCCGAGAGGACAGAAGGAGAGAAAGGAAGAAGCCCTGGAGGTTCGGCCTGGGCGGGCACCTTGATGGGGGTTCCGTTGCGGGTCTGCAGGAGACTCTGATCGTCTGACTCGATGCCAAAGGCCACGAAGGGGCCGGTAGCCACGTCCCCCCAATAGCCTCGCACAGCCACGCGCTCTCCACGCTGAAGTTGGAGGAGAGACACTGCTCAACTGTTGGACATCTGGGTCCACAAGGAAACTGAGGTAGGGACACGGGTGTCCTCAAATGTCAGAAGCTTGGAATGTGAACTACTAGGATCCTGAGGATAAAGGGCTGGGAAGCTGAAGGCCCAGCTCCCCTGAAATAGAGGACTGAGGGGGGGAGACCAGAACTCCCTCGGACCCCAGAGAGAGAGGACGGAGACCAGGACTTTTGGATCCCCTGAGATGGTGGACTGGGTAGGGTTAGTCATCTAGTCCCCTGAGATAGTGAGTGCGGCTCAAGACTCCTGGATCCCCAAGGGCTGGAGAGGACAGGGGGACTGGGTCCCCTTCAGGTGAGAAATTGGGAGATGAAGTCTGGTTCCCCCAACGCTGAGAGATGGGAACGAGCCTAGAGCACGCACATGGCTCATCAGACGCCCGGACGCCAGGGTCCGGTTTGGGAGTTGATAGGCCGAAGCATCCCGAATCTCGAAGGCCACACTGGTTTCCCGCCAGCGACGAAACTCTCGGCTGTTGATGACCCGGGCCTGAGAGGCAGAGGAAGGGAGGAAGGGCTCAAGGGCCCAGGAATCCTCCCCATCTCCGTGATCTTCCCACTTCTTCAGGAAGCCAGGCGACCAGCCAGCCTCCCAATCTCTAACCTAAAGCGGCCTCATGCCCCAATGCGGAGGTGCCTAAAACTACATTTCCCAGGAAGCTCGGGGAGAAGCTTAGGCAGCCTTCCAACGACATTCCCCTGCTGCCTGCTGGGAATGGTAGTTCTTTTCTTCCCACAAGCCTCCCAGTGACCCCAGCGTCCAGAAGCGCTCACCCCTCGGTCATGCAGCTTCATATGCAAGTCCCAGTCGCTGACCCCCAGCCGGGCATCGTAGCGGGAGCCCAGGTATCCTCGGAGTCGAGAGTCCCACAAGCGGCTCAGGGGGAAGGAGGCCTCGGCTTCGGAGGCTGCCCAGAAGGTGAACACGGCCTCCAGGGCGTCCCGCTCCCGGAACTGAGAACAGGAGAGAATCGGGACTAGAAGCAGATGGGAAATTGGCTCAGGAGGCAGGGACCCAGAGAGCAAAAAAATAGGATTAGGACAAGTAGAGCTGAATAGAAGCTTTTCCAGGGCAGGGACTAATGCTGGACTTTTGCCTCTGGGTCCCCAGTGCCCAACCCTGAGCCTGACCTAAAAAAGGCACTTCATAAACACTTTCTCTTCATCCATCCATCCATCCATCCATTTCTTGAAACAAGTAGGGATAGGAGGGCTAGTGATCTATTTGAGGAAAAACAAGAAAACTAATCTAACTGGACCATAGTGGGGCGAATAATGAAAACTAAAGCGAAAGGGTAAGTTGAGGCCCCGTGCTGAAGGGCTTTGAATGTCAACTAGAAGTTTCTTTTGATCTTAGAAGTAACAATAAGCCATTGTATCTCGTGGAGCAGGGAGTGACAAGGCTACATGCGTGCCTCAGGACCATCACTTTGGAAGCCGGCTGGAGGAGGAACTGGAGAGGGCAGAGACTTGAGTCTGGGAACCCTGTTAGAAGACCATCTCCTCGGTCAGAGTGAGAGGAGATGAGGCCTGAAGGAGGGTATTGGCTTGTAAATTAAGAGGAGGTAGAGATGAGAAAGAATTTGAAGGCATATCGCAGATTTGACTAGTGCTTGGACGAGAAAGAAGAGAGAGAGAGGAGAGTCCCCCACTTACAGCCCCGGGGCTGTAGCTGAGCACCCCCACCCGGGCCATTGGCGCGTCCCCGCCCTTTCCCCCCACCCTACCCCGCCACCCCCGACCTCGAACCTTGAGCGCTTCCAGGCTGAGGTGGGGAAGCTGAGCCGCCAAGTCATCCGGCTCAGGCAAGAGGCGGCGCATGCGCTGGGACTGAGTTCGAACGTACTCGGCCACCTGGGTCCGCACGAGCCCATTCCCCCATAGCTCCAAGAACGTCTCGCTCTTTTCTGCGGGGAGCGGGGAGAGGGCGGCTGGGAGCAGGGACGGCTGGGTCCCGGACTGGGAAAGGTCAAGGAGCAGGGACGCGTGAGCCCCCGACAGGATGGGGGCTGGGAGTAGGGATTTCTGGGTGCCCGAGAGGACAAAGACTGGAAACGGACTCTTGAGTCCCGGACTGCGAGGAGACTAGGAACAAGGATTTCCGGAATCCAGACCGGGGCTGGTTTGGGAGCTGGGAGCCTGGGTCCTGGAAGGGGGCATTCTCTGAGAACATGGACGCCTGCGCGCCTGAGGGAACATCCGGATGCCTGGGCCCTGGGCTGGGTTGGGAATATTGAACTGCAGCCTCCACCGGGCTCACCTTGAAGGCCCATCTTCTCTGGAGGCTCGAAGGCCAGGTTGAGGATCAGAATTTGGCGGGCCACCGCCTCCAGGTTGTTCTCCAGTACGAAGAACTGGGATCAGTTGTGAGAAAAGATGGGAAAGCCCAGGATCAAGGATGGCGGCCAGTCCTGCCTTCTCCCCTCCCAGGGGGCCTCCTTCATCCACCCCAACTGGCAACTCCCAAGTAGTCTTTAAGCACCTACTACGTGCACAAAGTATGCTCCGCGCTGGGCACACGGAGACCAAAAGCAGACGTGTTCCGCCCCCACCTGTCCCAGGACCCAGGACCCAGCCCCCGGTCCCCTCGGGGAGCCCCGCTCACGTTGAGCCCCCGAAGGGGCCAGCGCGGAGCCTGGGCCAGGGTCCGCAGGATATGCCGTGCGTCCACCGAGCCCAGGAGAAGAATGTTGAGTTCCGGGGGGTCCCCGGGGCTGGAGGCATCGGGAGGGCCTGGGATAGGGACAGGGAGGATTTCGGATCACACACCTCCTTCTTCGGTCGGGCTTCCCTGCCTTCCTCTCCTAGCCCTGCTCCTCTTCCCAGACCCTCAGCCAACCCAGCCCCAGAGCCCTCTTAGGGCCGAGTCAAAGATCCGGGGGCTCACATTCGGCCTGTAGATCCAGCGCTGGTGACAGGCCCCACCAGGCCACGGAGCCGAAGCCCTCGCCCGAGCCGGTAACGGTAGTCATCGCCCTTCGGGGGATAGTTCCCGAGCTAATCAAGGATTTCCAAGCGCCACCCAGGAGTCTGAGTACCCTGCCTTCTGCCCGCCTGTGATTCCCCTCAATCCCCGCTGCCCGTCCCGCCCCTCTCTTTTCAGGGTTGAGAGGGGACCGTAAACCGATATACTGAGCCAGAATTCTCATAAACCGGGGGTCGGATCCTGGAACCCTCCCCTTCTATGCGACCGCTCCCTTCCTGGGATGCTGGACACCTCTCCCCCTTCTTCCTCCCCAATCCCTGCCTCAGGGTTCCCCGCACTCCGAGAACCCCCAATTCCCCGCTCCACCCCTCCACCCTGGGGCCCTCAACCCAGTCTCTCGCTCCTTTTTGCCTCCTCAAAGACGCTTCTCCTCTCCGGACCCGTCCCTTCCAACCAACGGGTCAATGGAAGCTCTCGGTGCCCGACTTGCCAGCCAATGGGAGCGCGCGGTGGGGGCCAAAGGGCTCCTCTAGCTTCGGAGAGGACGCGGTTGCTCCTGGCAACGTAAGAGCCAATGATAGCGTGTGGTGAGGCCCACAGGGCGGGGTCCGAAGGCCGACCTCAGCTGGGAAGTGGTCGCCCCTGGCAACGGTCGGGCCTATGGCAGCGTGGATTCGAAGAACTAGAACCCGTTACCCAAGGCAACTCCAGGGCCAAGGTAAACGCGCGGTGAGGATACAGTCGCCACGCTGATGCAGCCCCTGATCACCTCGCAGTCAGAGCTAGGGTTAACCCAATGGCCTCCTCCCTGGGCTCCCCGACTCCAGGCTCTCCCCGTCCAGCCTACACTCAGTCGCCGGCGGCATTTCCTAAAGTGCATCCCTGACCCTGTCCCTCCGCTGCTCATTGAAATCCTACCTGATGCAGGCAGTATTATAACCCTTCTTCCTCCCTCTTTCCTTCTCTAGCTGTTCCTCGTACAGAACTTTCTAGGGCCTGCCTTGCACAAGTGGCTTCCCAGATCGGTGGGTGTGTTCTCACCTCCTCCTCCGAGATCCCCGCTAGCTCCAAAGCCCAGCCCAGGTGCTACCATCTATCTCCCAGGGCTGTTGTGAGCATCCAACAAAATGATGTACATGTGAATAAACAACCATTGTCTGTTGTAAAATAGACGAGTTTGGTTAAATTACATTAGAAGGGGCTTGTATAAATAAAACCAATGTAGCCAAGATTAGAAGGAAAGCAGAAAATAGACAGTTTCTCAGATAAAAGTCTCATATCTCAAATATCTAGAGGACTTTGTCAAATTTATAAGACTATGAGTTATCCCGCAGTTGATAAATGGTCAAAAGATATGAACAGGCTGTTTTTCAATGAAGAAATCAAAGCTATATATAGTCATATTTTAAAAAAAAAGCTCTAAATCATTATTGATTAGAGAATGGAAATTAAAACAACTTTGAGATATCATCCCATACCTATCAGATTGGCTGAAATGGCAGGAGGGGAAAATGAAAAATGTTGGAGGAGATATAGAAAAATTGGGACACTGATACACTATTGGTGGAATTGTGAACTGATCCAACCATTCTGGATAACAATCTGGAATTATCCCCCAAAGAGTTATTAAACTGCACATGGTACACATGTATATATGTATATATGTATATATACACTTTGACCCAGCAATACCGATATTCAGTCTGTTTCCCAAGGTGATAAGGGAAAAAGGAAAAGAACCCATGGGTTCCAAAATGTTTATAGCAGCTCTCTTTGTGGTGACAAAGAACTGGAAATTGAGGGGATGCCCATCAACTGGGGAATAGCTGACCAAGTTCTGGTATATGAATGTGATGGAATACTACTGTGCTATAAGAAATGATGAGCTCAATGATTTAGAAAAACATGGAAAGACTTGAATGAAATAATGAAGAGTGAAATGAAAAGAACCAAAAGAACATTGTATACAGTAACAGCAATATTGTTCAAAGAATAACTGTGAACCACTAAGTTACTCTGAGTATTATAAATACCCAAACCAACTACAAAGGGCCTTTGAAGGAAGATGTTATCCACCTCCAGAGAAAGAAATGATAAATACAAGTATGCACAGTATGGTTTCACATATATTTATAAATCTGTGTCAGATGGTAGCCTTCTCTGGTGTGGGTTGGGGAGGGAAGGAGGGAGATAGTTCAGAACTTAAAATTTAGCAAAAAAATTTAATTAAATCATGTATACATATGTACATTACTTTGCAAAGAGCTATGTAAATGGTAGCCATGATTTTTATTGTGTGTTTGTGTTTACTTACCTGTGTATATAGTGTATCTACCAACACACACACACACACACACACAACTTCTTAAGGCAGGTACTGGTTTATTTTCATCTTTGTGTTCCTAGCACCTAGAGCAGTGCCTGGCACATAGTAGGTACTTAAAAAATGGCTGCTGACTGAAATGGAACTGAAGCAATTATGCCCCCATTCCAGCCTTCCTGCCTTCTGAGAATTCAGGTTTCCTGTCCCTTCCATCATCTTAAAGCATCCCTTCCCCTCCAGCTCCCTAGTGACTGAGAGGTCACAAACCTTGGACCTCTACTCTCTCAGTCCAATCCCACAAGCATTCACTGAGCACCTACTACATGCAAGGCATTAAACATAAAGAGATATTAAGGAGACATTTGCTATCATCCAAAGGAATCCGTATCCTACTTGTTGGGCGGGGGGGGGGGGGAAGATCACAGAGAATCATAGATTTAGAGCAGAAAGGTATGTTAGAGACCATTCCGTCCAACCTCTTCTTTTTATAGACAGGCAGAGGTGAACTGGCTTGCCCAGGTTAAGCATTTGAGGCAGGATATGAACCCAGGTCTTCCTGACTTCTGGTCCAGTACCCTGTCTATGTCAAACTGCTAACATATCCACAGGTCTTTTCTGAAGGAAGAGGGGAGAGGGAGAGGTTCACTCATTGTAGAACCTGGTACATGAGCTGAGCCCTGAAGGAAGCTAGGAATTCTAGAGGCAGAAGTGAGGATGGAGTACATTCTGGGAATGGGAGACAGCCTAGACACAGGGACAGGGACAGGAAATAGAGTCTCCTTTATGGGGAGGTAAATCAGGGTGGCTAAAATGTAGACTGTATGAAAGAGAACAATGTGTAACTAGCTCTGAGAGACAAGGAGAAGCCAGATGGTGACCACCTTCAAATACTAAACAAAGGAGGCATAACTCATCCTAGAAGCCATGGGACAACCCTTCAGGTTGTGAGCAGAGTCAGGGCATGGTCCACTTGGGTTTCAGGAAGAATATTTTGACAACTGTGTGGAGGTCCTGCGTGGACTTTGACCTAGGCCCTTTTCTAGCTGTATGATTTCATTTGGTAATCTCACCAGCTCTCATGGTGCCAATAATCATCTCCATGCAGGTGGCTCTCAGATCTCCTTATCCAGCCCTGACCTCTCTCTAATCTCCAGTCCCTATTTCCAAATGGCTTATTGCACAGCTCACACTGGAAATCCCATAGACCTCTTAAACTCAAGCTGTCCAAAACTAAACTCATTATCTTTCCTCCCAAACCATCCCCTCTTCCTAATTTCCCTATTCTATAGAAAGCACCACCATCTCCCAGGCTTACAACCTAGGATCATCCAATTAGGAGTCTATGGTCATAGTCCAAGTGACAAGCAAGGGGGACCTAAGATAGGGTGGCAGCCACATGAGCAGAACAAAAGGGGGAGGATGTGAGTGGCAAGACTTGGCTGCTAGAGATGAGAGGTGGGGGAGGCATGGGGGGAAGCCATGGTTGGGAAGCTGGGTGACTGGGAAGATAGTGGGGTCCTTAAATGCAATAGGGGAGTTAGAGAGAGGGGTGACTCTGCAGGCATGGGGAGACAATGAGTTTTGCTTTGAGCATGTTGAGCTGGAAGCACCTATGAGACACACATTTTAAAATGTCCAACAGGCAGCTGGTAATGCACAATTGCTGTGTGTGTGTGTGTGTGTGTGTGTGTGTGTGTGTGTGTGTGTGTGTGAGAGAGAGAGAGAGAGAGAGAGGGAGTGAAAGAGAGAGAGAGAGAGTGAGAGAGAGGAGAGAGAGAGAGAGAGAGAGAGAGAGAGAGTGAAAGAGAGAGAGGGAGAGTGAGAGAGAGAGAAAAAGAGAGGGAGAGGGAGAGAGAGAGAGAGAGAGAGAGAGAGAGAGAGAGAGAGAGAGAGAGAGAGAGTGAGAGAGAGAGAGAGAGAGAGCGCGAGCGAGCGCTGGCTCTGGGCCTCTGCAGACAGATGACAACTGGCCACATGGGAGCTGATAAGGGCACTGAGAGAGAGCACGTGCAGAGAAGAGGGCTGAGAACAGAGCCTGGAGGTACATCCACAGTGAGTGGGCACTCACTCAGAGACTCAGAGAAGGCAGCTTTTCCAAGAACGAAGGAAGGGATGGGGGAAGGGAGGGTGGATGGCCTACATTTGACCCTGCAAAGAGACAAAAAGAATGAGGACTTTGACTCTGAAATGGTCACTTGATTTAACCTTTAAGTGATGACAGGTGACTTTGGAGAGAGCAGGTGGAGTTGAATGGTGACGTCTACAGCTAGATTCCAAGGGATTGATCAGTGAGTGGGAGGATAGGAAATGGGCCCGGTCTAAGCTGTCCACGAGCATTGGAGACAGGTTTTCCAGGAGGCTGACTATGAAAGAAAGGAGACATAGAGGACAAGAGCTGAAGGCCTTATTAGGGTCAAGTGAAAGCACTTTTAAGGGTCGTAGGGACCCTGGAATATTGGAAGGCTGCTGAGAAAGAGCTAACCAATAGAAATGGAGGATGAAAGTGGGCGTGGATTGAAAGGGTTATAGGAAATATCAGCACAAAGATGGCGGAAAGAATAGGAAGTCGCTGTCAGATAATGGATGATAGAGGCAGAGTACTTGTGGGTGCTAAGGAGATCAAGGGTGTAGCCCAGGCTCCCCTTTCTCCAGGGCTGGCCCACCCACATGTCCACAGGTCTTTTCTGAAGGAAGAGGGGAAAGGGAGAGGTTCACAGGGACCCAGGCTTGCTCTCTCCTCAGCTCTGTGCTCTCAGGGACTCAGCCTCCTCAGGAGTCCTTTCTGTGAACCCCCATCTTTTTTTGTTTTTGGTGAGGTGATCAGCATTGTAATTTGCCCAGGGTCACACAGCTAGTACGTGTCAAGTGTCTGAGGCTGGATTTGAACTCAGGTCCTCTTGACTCCAGGGCTGGAGCTTTATCCACTGCACCACCTGGCTGCCCCAGTAAACCCCCATCTTAAGCCACTGCCTCCTCACCCGAGATTTCTAAAGGACCAGTGAAATGAGGTGAGTCCTTCACCCCCAGCCATCCCTCAGACTCTCCTTTGGTCTCATGCTCTCTCTAAGACAGGCTGTAGCTCCCTCTCTTTCTCTAGTTCCTCCATCTCAGTAAGATTTATGAATCAGTAGGCTATGAATTCCCAGTGAACAGGGACTGGCTCTGCTCTAAAGGTGTTTCCCTCCCAGCAGGGGGACCCAGGTCTCTGCACTCAATCTTCAAATGGATAAAAAGACATTTCTTTTTCTAGGTGGCTGCCTCTGCCAGAGCCTCTGCATTTCTAAGCCCCAGTCCTCCCCTCTTTTTTTCAGGCAATTAGGGTTAAGTGACGTGCCCAGGGTCACACAGCTAGTGTCAAGTGTCTGGTCTGAGGTCAGATTTGAACTCAGGTCCTCTGGTGCTCCTGTGGTCTGACCCTAGGCGCTCCCACTCGGAGCAAGGACCTCTTGGTGCTGTCCTAGGTTCTCAATGCAGTGCAGCCATACCAAACCCATCCCAGGCACCCCCAAATCCCCAGAGAAAGAAATACTGCTGCATCCTACCCAGGTGATCTGACATTCTGGTCCCCAAGCATCAGGCCAGAGGTAGGAGTACTGATTTAATAAATTAAAGGCACAATATGTACAGGTTGTATTAGAGGATGAGGCAGTAGGAGGAGCTTGGAGCCTTCCTCATCTCCTGGGGAGGGCGGGACTCAGCCCCTCAGAGATCTCCCCAAATCTCCATTACATAATTTGATGTCAAGGAGGGACCCGGACATCTGGACCCTCTTCCCCTCCCCATCCAGAACCCAGGTGCTCCCACCCCCAGCTCCTGATTCTTCAGAGATCCTGGGTCTCATGGGGGGGGGAGCATGGTGAATCCTGAACCCCAGGAAGTGTGGGCTCTTATCTCATACCAATCTCCTGCTCATAGGCCTGGATGGCTTCCACGTTCTCATACAGGACACCTTCTTGGCCTATGCAATCTTCCCCACTGTCCTGGGACAGCTGCAGAAACCTCAGGAGGGCTTGGTACAGAAATATGTACTGTCCCTGGAGAAGTGGGGGAAAGGAGATGGGTGACTAGGCTCTTAAGCTTCAGGACAGAAGGGAGGCTTATATTTCCAGTCCACACCCTCCCCAACTTACAGAAAGAGAAATAGGTCCAGTGACTTGCCTAAGGTCACTTGGCTAGGAAGTGACAGAGTCAGAATTTGAACCTGGGGCATGTGACTTGACGTCCAGTTCCCATCAACCTTATTCTGGGATCTCTGTACCCATTGACCCCTCCCTGGCCTGGCCTGGCCTGGCCTGACCCTGACCTCAGTCTGCACCATCAGCGGGCGGCTCCTCCTCATCTTTCTGACGAAAGAATGAACCCCAACACGCTGGTATTTCTGCAGTTGCCTCAGCAGGACATCCAGGGCGATGAGGGTCCCCGTGCGACCTACACCCGCACTGGTGAGAGGACAAGATTGGAGAAAAGCCTTCCCCCAGGGGCTCATGGGGTCACCAACAGCACTCGGGTGCTCCTGGGGGGGCCAGGGCCAGGGGCTCACCTGCAGTGTACAATCGGAGGGCCCCCCCCCAGGCTCTGGTCCAGCCAATTCCGGAGCAAAGCTTGGAAAGCCAGCAGTGGGTCTGGGGACCGAGGAACCCCATGGTCTGGCCACACAGTGTAGTGGAACTGGCGCACAGACAGGCCTTCCTTCAGCTCCATCTAGGGGAAGAGAAGGGTCAGAAACCCCAATGCGGAGGGGGGAGGGACAGGAATCTGAGGTCATTTAGTGTAACTGGGAGGCCCGGGGGCAGAAGGAGCTCCAAGACTAGGTCACTTGGGTGGGAGGAAGCAAAGGCCAAATGGGAATCCAAGTTCTTGGACTCCAGGACCGTTCGTCTTCCAACAGCCCCAAACCGCCTTTGATGCAGAGCTCTCAGAGGCTGTGAGGAGGAGAGGCTACGGGAGAAGTTCGGGGAGGGAGACTCTGGAGAAGCGGGACAGTCTCTGGGGCTTGGTCAACCCCAGAGGAGGGAGCAGAGCAGGCTAGTCAGGAGGTACCTGAGTCTGACTCTGCTAAGCAGGGTCAAGATGTTTGAGGGGGCTGGAAGGGGCTACTGGCCTGTCTGGGCTCAGTTGGGAAGACAGAGGCTAGAGCTCTGGGTCTGGAATTAAGAAGATCCGAGTTCAAATCCAGCCTCAGACCCTTCCTTAATGTGTGACTCTGGGCAAGTCCCCCAGCCACCATCTACTTCATTTTCCTCAGCTTTAAAATGAGCATACCAACTGCACCTACTTTCCAGGGTTGTTGGGATGACCAATTAAGACAGTGTTTGTAAAGCACCTGGCCTGTATTAGATACCTAGTAAATGCTTACTCCCTTCCTCCTTCCCAAAGGTCTAGGAAAGGGAGCCAGGGCCCAGAGGGAGAGGTGTTAGGATGGTCTGGGCATCCCTGGAAGGTCTAGGAAGGGTTCAAAGTGAAGCTTCTATTAGAAACTAGATGGCAGGGAGTGATTGGTTAGTTTGGGGTATATTGGGGGTCACCACGGATGGCCATGGAACCCTGGAGGGATTTAGCAATCACAGGGCCTCCAGAGGCTATCGGCTCGCAGCTCATGTTAGACTAGAAAGCTTCCAGGTCCCTTCCAACTCTCCAGTTCAGTGATTCTGTCTTGGGGCTGGTCATAGGGACTCATTGAATTGCTATGGGGTACTTAGGGGTGACAGAGTCGGTCTGACTGTGGCTGTGGGTCCTTGAAAGGTAGCTGAGCTGGTCGAGGGAAGTTGAGTGCTCTGGGTGAGAGGGGCACAGAATCTAGAAAGGTGAGGAGGTCTTGGGGCAGGCTTATAGCTCCCTGGGAGTCTCAGGGGAGAACATGGGTGACCATGTTGGCCTTCAGAAGCAGAAGAGGTCCTGAGGGGGACAGCTGGGGGCCTGGAAAGGATTGGGGTCTCTGGGTCCGTACATGGAACAGATGCAAGTCTCGAATGGTCCAATGTTCAGCCACATTTTCCCCTTTCAGAGTCACCCGAAGGTGCCCATGACTGCAAGGTTTGGCATCCAGGGGCCAGTAATGTTCACACTTGACCTGGGAAAGGAAGAGTACCCAGAGGTGGGTAATATGTGAATCCCATAGCCAGAGCTGTGCTCAAGCAGAGCCTCTATTTATCTGCAGCCCTGTACTAACCCCATTAACCTAGGAGAGGAAGCACTTACTGAGAGTGCCTAAGGTGTGTCTGGGGAAGGAATAACAAGGACCCTCCCCCAGCCCAGGGAAGTTTCAAGGTATCCCCCCGAGATCTGGGTCTGGCAGCAGCAACAGTGGGCTGGCTTCCTTCTCAACCAAAGACAGAGAGCCAAGGACAGAGATAGAGAAAAGGGGAAGCAGAGAGAGATGTAGGGAGACAAGGAGAGAAAGGGAGAGGGATGGAGGGAGACAGAGACAGAGGGAAGCAGGAAAGAGTTAGAGGGAGACAAGAGAAATGAGGGAGGGTTAAGGAAAAAGACGAAGGGCGACAAAGAAAGGGAGGAGCAAGGGAAGGACGGAGACAGAGACAGAGGGAGAGGGGGAGAGGAAAAGAGAAGAGACAGAGGGAGGCAGGGGAGAGACGGAGGGAGACAAAGAGAGAGGGAGAGGAATAGGGGAAAGAGATGGAGAGAGACACATAAGTGGAGATGTGTCAAGGGGAGAAATGAAGAGAGACAAAGAGAGGGGAAGGGGAGGGGAGGGATGGAGAGAGACAAAGACAGCGAAATGGAGAATGATAGGGACAGGGTGAAGAGGGATGGGCAGAGATGGAGCGCCAGAGAACTCGTAGTCTGGGAGGGAGATGGGCACGGAGCTGAGGGCGGGGCGGGGCGGGGCTAGGGAGGTCTCTGGAGCTCACCAGCCCGGACTCCACACAGTTGGTCAGCATGACAATAGTGTGGCTTTGCTGCTCCCACACCAGGTGCCAGAAATCGCTCATCGTCTGGGGGAGTGGCCCCTGGGTGGCAATGTACTCCCGGGGCCCAACGAGACCCTGGAATGGGATGGAGCGAGGAGAGTCCGTGGGGGGGGGTCACATACACCCCATCTCCCAGCTTTGACTTAAGCCTACCTCCGGCCACCCACCCCTACCCTGTTTTGCTCGCCCCTCCCCCACCGTGTCAGCTCACTGGAACGAAGCTGGCATTGATGTAGTCAGAGCTGGGATCCCCTGGGGTGGGCTGCAGGGGTACTCGGGGACCAGTCATCTGAAGTGGAGAGGAGGAGGTGGGTCCAGGAAATGTAAAAACAGGAAGAAACCGGTAATGAAAGACCGAGAAGGGACTCAAGATAGAGGCCAGCAGAGGAGAGACACGAGAGATTGGGGGGAGGGGGAGAGTCTGTGCCTCAAGGAAGGAGGAAGCAGCGTCCTTGGGCCTCTCAGGGTGGGAAGGCAGAGGAAGAGGGGAGTACTGTATCTGCTTCTCCCAGGGAGAGGTGGGGATGGGGCAGCTCTGCCTCCCACAGAGGGTCAGGGGCCAAGGGCATGGATAGGAGGGCTCTATCTGTCCCGGGGAGCCAGGAGGAGCATGGGACCTCTGGCTGTCCCGGGGCAAAGGGTAGGGGTAGGGGTCAGGGGCGGGGGGGGGTATCTCCATCACTCCCAAGGAGCCAGGGGAGCGGAATGGGGTCTCTGGCTCTCCCTGGGGGCGGGGTGGGGGTAGGGTATCTCTATTCTCACAAGGCAGCACGTTGGAAAATCGGTTCTTGCTCTTGTTCTCCGGGGCCAAGGCGGCTGCTTGCAACTGCCCTGTGCCTTCCAGAGTCAGTTGCTGGTTAAGAGGAGGTCACAAAGAGAGAGGGCGAGGGAGGAGACCGTCAGAGCCCCGGTACAGCAAGGTGTGCCAGAGTCTGCCGACAGCCGGGGTCTGCCCCGCCCCCTGCGCTGCCCACCAGGTCCTGGGGTTTTACGGGCCCATGGGCACAGCAGAAAGGCAAGTGGAAGAGATGGCAGCTGGGCCTTTGTCTGCCTTCCCCCTCCTCTCCCCACCTTGCTCTGTTTCTGTCTCCATCTCTCGGTTCCTGTCTCTATCTCTCTTGGTCTGTTGCTGGTTTGCTCTTGCATCTCCAACTGCCTAGCAGACATCTCAAAGTGGATGCCCCCCCCCATGGGCATCTGAACCTCATCACGTCCCGAACGGAACTCACTATCTTTCAGCCCTTCCCCCTTCCCAACCTCTCTGTTACTATTGAACGCACTCCCTGTACCAGCCCCCTGGGCTCACAGCTCATCCTCTCTGCTCCTCCCTCTCCTCACCCCCCTCAGCTGTCAGCTCCTGTAGATTCCACCTTCAGAAGAGCGCTCACACACGCCCCTCTTCTCTCCTCCGTCTCCATCACCTTGCTGCGGGTTCTGGTCGCCTCCCGCCTGGACAACTGTAATAACCTGCCGAGGGGCCTCCCTGCCTTAAGTCCCTCCCTGCTCCGCTTCATCCTCCACGCAGCTGTCCCAGAGATCTTAAAACGTGGCTCTGACCGTGGCGCCTCACCCCGCTCAGTAAACTCCAGTGTCTCCCTATCACCTCCAGGATCCAACAGAGTCACATTTGGCTTTGAAAGTACTCCCTAAGCTGCCCCCGCCTGCGCCCGGGGCGGTGCCTACCACCACACCACCCTTTCCAGCCTCCTCCATGGCTGCGCCTTCTTCTCTCTGGCATCATCTCTGATTTCTGTTTGTACGGAGCGGTTGGCAGGCGCGCCCTCCTCTTGGACTGCGAGCCCCCTGAGGACTGTTTCTACCTTTCTTTGTATGCCCAGTCCTCAGCACGATGCCTGGCACGTAGTAGGCACTTAATAAATGTTTGGTGACTGACTTGTCGGTTTGTTGACCTCAGACTCCATCTCTAACTTCGTCTCTCTCCATCTTTGTCTCATCTCAGTCTCTGTCTTTGTGTGTCTCAGTCTTAACCACTCTTCCCCACTCTTTTCTGCCCCTTTCTCGATTTTGTGTCTCTGTCACTTTCCTCTGTCGCTCTCTCCTCTGTTTCTCTCTATCTCTTTGTTTCTGTCTTTGTCTCCCTCCACCTTCTGTCTCTGTCTCACCCCCTCCCTTTCTCTCTCCTCTTTCTCCCTCTGTCCCTTTCTCTCCCTTTTTCTCTCTCCTCTGTCTCCCTCTCTCTCCTCTATCTCCCTCCCTCCCTTTCTCTCTCCCTCTCTCTCTCCTTTTCTCTCTCTCCTCTGTCTCACTCCCTCACTTTCTCTCTCTCCCTCTGTCCCTTTCTCTCCCTCCCTTTCTCTCTCTTCTGTCTCCCTCTCTCCCTCCCTTTCTCTCTCTCCTTTGTCTCCCTCTCTCCCTCCCTTTCTCTCCCTCCCCTTCTATCTCTCCTCTGTTTCCCTCTCTCCCTCTCTTTCTCTCTCTTCTGTCTCTTTGTCTCCCCTCTCCCTCCATTCCCCCTCTTCCTTTTCATCCTCTCTCTATCACCTTTAGTCAGTCTATATTGCTAATACCCCCTGAGAAGGGGTCAGGTTTGAGCCGTGTGTGAATAGTGTGAACAGGGGTACAAAGGGGTACAAAACAGGGGTACAAAGCCGCTCTCCAGTTATCCCAGCTCCCCATACCTGGTACTCTTCTGCAAATCCATAATTACTGTCTTTCTGATTCTCCAAGACGTAGGCTGCCAAATTCTCTGCAGGGATGTCTCCCAGGAAGCTGGCAGGGAATGAGAAGGGCTGCTGCCTGGGACTGCCATGCAGCCCAGCCTTGCTCAACCTCCCCCCACCCATTTCAGGGAACAGTGAGGTCCAGACGCAAGGAGGGGCTTGCCCAAAGTCACCCCAACAGTCAGTGACTGAGCGGGATCCCACGAGGGCCTGCCCCAAACCAGGGGCTCACCTGAAGGCCACACCTGGGGCTTGAGGCTTCTCCTGTATGGGCTTCCTGTGGGAAGGGTGGGGAAGAAAGAGGAAGTGAGAGTTCCTGAAGCCCACCTGGCCCTCAGAGCCCCTGCTGGCCAGCCCATGCACCGTTAAGCCTATCTGGCCCTCAGAGTTCCAGGCCTTGCCTCACCTCCGATGCCGTTGATGAAAGAAGATGAGCAGGCCCGCGAGGAGGATAAAGAGAAGGACTCCAATGATGACTCCTGCAATGACCCCTGGGTTGGAGGCTGGGGGAAACATGGAGGGACCTGAGAAGGACTAGCCCACCCCAGCCCCCACACCAACCTCACCCACTGCCCAGGCTCCCTTCCAAGCCCCCCTGGGTGCCAGCTTCTCCCCTCCTGGACTTACCTCTACTCTCCGTATAGCAGGTCACTGGAGCCGAGGCGGCACACATCCCTGCCCAGAGAGTCCACACGATGGCCGTGTAGGACTGGCCTGGCTGGAGTCCCCCAATGGACATGGAGCTGTTGCAAGGCCCTGGCCGTGTGCCTTGATGATCACCCAGCTGATATTCCAAGCTCTCCTGGTTCCCCGCAGGGCAGGCCAAGGTCAGGACGACCCCATAGCCTGCAGCAGCACTGGTGCAGGAGGTGATGGTGACGGGGTCTGGAGCTGAGAGGACCGTCCATGATGAACTCCTTGTTGGCCCCGAGGTCCAGCCATCCCCTCCCCCTCCTCCCCCCCATCACCCCCAGGGGCCCTGGCTTCCAGGTCCTCCAGTTTGCTCCCCCAGGAGGAGGGGGCAGGTCTGCTGCTGAATGATCAATGCCCTGAGCCTCACCTGTGGAGGCATTGACTGTCCTTTCTGGACTCTGGGCTCCATCCTCTGTCACAGACCTCACCGAGAGCTGGTACCAAGTCCCTGGAGTGAGGCCGTAAGCAGTGAAGTTGGTCCCGTTAGTGAAGACAGTCCCGCTAGTGAAGATCTGCCTCTGGTGTGTTTCAGATTCGAACCAGGACACTTTGTAGGTGGGCTCAGTGGGCCCCTCAGGCACCATCCAACTGAATGCAATGGAGTTGTTGGTCTGATTCGCCACCTCCAGGTTTCTGACCTCATTGGGTTCTGGCAGGCCAACAAGAGAAGTGTAGACAAGGGCCCGCCTGGGTAAGAGCCACAGCACTCTGCCCACACGTCCCCATCCACCTCCATCCTAATCATCAGGAGCCCCACAGAGTGAGTTAAAGGTCACTGCTTCCAAGCTGCCGTATTCCTGGGACCAAAAGTACTGTTTCTCCAGATCCCACCCTCCCAGGCTGGGAGCCTCCCTCACCTGTGAACACCCTCAGCATCTGGGCAGAACTATTGACTTCGTTGCTCATGCTACATATTGTGAATACATATGGGCTTCCAGGCTCCAGGTGCTCTGCAGTATACTGCTCAGCTGTGGCCTTGTCTGCCCCTCTGGGGACACCCTCCCAGTTCCAGCTGACCCAGTAGGTGTAATCGGCAGGCTGGGGGCCATCAGGGGCCAGCCACTTCAGGGTGACTGAGCCATTGCTCCGGGCATCCATCCTGAGGTCTCTGACCTCATTGGGCACTGAGGAGTGAGAAGAGCAAGTCAGAGAAGAACATAATGGAGGCCAGGGATGCCAGGCTAAATCCTTGCCTGTAGGATTGGTGAGGAAGGATGGTGTCCAGTAAACATGCCCAGGAAAATGAGCCTCAGTAGCCCTGAGCAAGGCCCAGAGAGGCATGGAAAGGTACAGTAAGGCAGAGGAGTCTAGTAAAGCCTAATGATGCCTGGGCCCAAAACATCAAGACTGCAAGCCAGAGGTCCCTTCTTCCCCCTTCCCTGTTGCCCAAAGACCACCAGTCTCTGCAGAGGGGACTCTTGTAGGGAAGGCTTGGAAGAGATGGCCTCTGAGGGCCCTTCCTGCTCTGAGATTCTCTCATTCTGGGCTCAAAGCTGAGATCTAGGTCCTCTTAGAGTGGACCCAGAAGACCCTGGGCCCTGGCCCACCTCCCACAGAACCAGCCCCAAAGCACAGCCCCCATCTCACCTGTGGCCTCCTGGACACTCTGGCCAGAGCTGTTGACACCATTCTTCTCAGCCCTCACTGTGAAATTGTACACTGTGGCAGGGGCCAGGTTGTCCACCATATGCTCCATCTCTGTTGTGTGGTCTTCACCAAGAAGGTCATCCTCTCTGCCCCAGCTGATCCAGTAGGTATAATCGGCAGGCTGGGGGCCATCAGGGGCCAGCCACTTCAGGGTGACTGAGCCATTGCTCCGGGCATCCATCCTGAGGTCTCTGACCTCATTGGGCACTGAGGGAGATGTGAGAACTGAAAGTGGGTGGGGGAAGGGCTTCCCATCCTCCCCACCATATCTCCAGTACCTCCCCAATATGATTCCTCCTCCACTCAGCTGCCAGAGAGATTTTCTCAAGGCACAGGTAAACCAGCTCCACAACCAGCTCCCATGGCCCCCTATTACCTTCAGGATGAAACACACCCTTCACCACCTGCCCCCGACCTACCCTACAGTCTAGAGTAGCAGCCTGCTCACCTTCACTCACTCCACAAGCCAGTCAATCCTTCCTACTTCTCAAAGATGGCTCTCTGTTTCCCCTTTCCAGGCTTTCACCCTGGCCATGCCCCATGCCTGGAATGCACTCTTTCCTCACCTCCTCATGGCACTCTTCCCTTCCTTCAGCTGATCCTTCAGAGATCATGCCAAGTGCCAGCTCCCACTGGAAGCCACTCCTGAACCCCACCAAAAACCCCTTTTATCTGGTTCTTCTCTGCTCATCTGTGGCCAGGCTGTCTCCTCCAATAGGATGCAAGGTCCTTGAGGTCAGGGACCGTGGTCCTTTCGACTGGAAATCTCCCTCCCCAGAACAGAACTTGGCATGCTGTAGATGCTTACTAAGTGCCTTGCGAGTGGCAGATTGATTGCTAGTGATGCCCTCCCAGGGAGGTCTCAGGACACCCAGGAGAACTGGGCCCCTCAAGGGCAGCAAGAGTGGAGCCTTCTGTTCCCTCCCATTTCCTCCATAAACAAGGAAAGAAGAAAGGAGGCAGGCATTTATTAAGTGCCTCCATGTGCCAGGTACCACACAAGTGTTATCTCTTTGATGCTCACAACAGCCATGGGAGGGAGGTGATATTATTATCCCCATTTTACAGTTAAGGAAACAGAGGTAGGGGGGTGGAGCCAAGATGGTGGAGTGAAAGCAGTGACTTGCTTGAGCTCTCCCCCAAACCCCTCCAAATACCTGTAAAAAATGGCTCTAAACAAATTCTAAAGCAGCAGAACCCACAAAAAGAGTGAAGCAAATTTCCAGCCCGAGACAACTTGGATGGTTGATCAGAAAGGTATATCTCGCCAGGCAGTGAGAGGAGCACAGTGCGGCATAGGCACACAGGCCGCAGTGAACCTGGAGCAGGCCTCAGAGAACTGAATCGTGGGCAGCTGTGGCAGTTTCCAGACTTCTCAACCCATGAATGCCAAAGACAACTGAGAAGGTCAGTAGGAAAAGTCTGTTTCTGTGGTGCTGAGAGAGGAGCACGGGGTCTCAGATCCAGTTCCCTGAGAGTGTGGCCCAGGGGCTGCCTTCTGAGCTTTCAGCCCACAGACTGAGGAGGAATCGAGTGGCTGATCAGAGAGGAATTGCAGGGATCTCTTTGCCAGTGCTGAGGCAGGAATCTCTTGCTTTGCCCGTGCTTAGATCTGGGTCACAGTTCTGGGTGGTGGTCCTGGGGCAAGGAGGAGCGCTGGCGTGGTGGAGCTTGTAGTGGTTGTGGAGAGAAAACCCTTCTCACAGTTCCAGGACAGAAAGAGGAGTTCCTGTGGTCACTAATAGACCAGAGCACAGGCCAAGAAAGGAGTAAACACCTCACCACCTTGGAAGAACTGAAAATGTATACAAGTATCTCTGAAAACAGCTGTACAATCCCCCGAAGCTTGGGACAGTACATTCTCCACATTGGAAGCAGACTCTTACCTTAACAAAGAGTTTAAAACTCAAGTAATTGGCCTGGATCATGAGCAAGCAGTGCAAAAAGAGTCAGCCTATATTATCTTACTTTGGTGACAAAGAAGATCAAAACATACAACCAGAAGAAAACAAAGTCACAGCTCCTATATCCAAAGCCTCCAAGAAAAATATTAATCAGTCCCAGGCCTTGGAAGAGCTCAAAAGGGATTTTGAGAAGCAAGTAAGAGAAGTAGAAGAAAAACTAGGAAGAGAAATGAGAGTGATGCAAGAAAATCATGAAAAACAAGTCAACAGCTTGCTAAAGGAGACCCAAAAAAATACTGAAGAAAATAACACCTTAAAAAATAGCCTAACCCAAATGGCAAAAGAGGTCCAAAAAGCCAATGAGGAGAAGAATGCCCTAAAAAGAAAATTGGCCAAATGGAAAAGGAAGTCCAAAAGATTACTGAAGAAAATACTTCCTTAAAAATTAGAATAGAGCAATTGGAAGCTAGTGACTTTATGAGAAATCAAGACACTGTAAAACAAATCCAAAAGAATGAAAAATAGAAGACAATGTGAAATATCTCATTGGAAAAACAACTGACCTGGAAAATAGATCCAGGAGAGAGAATTTAAAAATTATTGGACTATCTGAAAGCCATGATCAAAAAAAGAGCCTAGACATCATCTTTCAAGAAATTATCAAGGAAAACTGCCCTGATATTTTAGAACCAGAGGGCAAAATAGAAATTGAAAGAATCCACAGATCTCCTCCTGAAAGAGATCCCCAAAGGAAAACTCCTAGGAATATTGTAGCCAAATTCCAGAGTTCCCAGGTCAAGGAGAAAATATTACAAGCTGCCAGAAAGAAACAATTCAAGTATTGTGGAAACACAATCAGGATAACACAAGATTTAGCAGCTTCTACATTAAAGGACCACAGGGCATGGAATATAATATTCCAGAGGGCAAAGGAGATAGGATTACAACCAAGAATCACCTACCCAGCAAAACTGAGTATAATCCTTCAGGGGAAAAAAGGTCATTCAGTGAAATAGAGGACTTTCAAGCATTCTTGATGAAAAGACCAGAGCTGAATAGAAAATTTGACTTTCAAATACAAGACTCAAGTGGAACATGAAGAGGTAAACAGGAAAGAGAAATCATAAGAGACTTATTAAGGTTGAACTGTTTACATTCCTGCATGGAAAGATGATATTTATAACTCATGAGACCTTTGTCAGTATTAGGGTAGTTGGAGGGAAAAAATTATATGTATGTATGATAGATAGATAGATAGATAGATAGATAGATAGATAGATAGATAGATAGATATAGGGCACAGGGTGAGTTGAAGATTAAGGGGTCATATCTGGAGAATAAAATTAAGGGATGAGAGAGGATTATACTAGGAGAAGAAGAAAGGGAGAGGTAGAATGGGTAAATTATCTCACAAAAAAACAGAAAAGAAAAGGCTCTTACAGTGGAGGGGAAATGGGGAAGGTGAGAGGGAATGAGTGAATCTTATTCTCATAGGATTTGGCTTAAGGAGGGAATAACATACACATTCAATTGGGTATGGAAATCTGTCTTACCCTACAGGAAAATAGGGGGAGAAGGGGACAAGAGAGCAGGGGGATGATAGAGAGGAGGGCAGATTGGGAAAGGGGTAATCAGAAGCAAATACTTCTGAGGAGGGACAGGGTCAAAAGAAAGAATAGAATAAATGAGGGGACAGGATAGGATTAAGGGAAATAGAGTTAGTTTTTCACAACATGTCTACTATGGAAGTGTTTTGCATAACTGCACATGTATAACCTATATTGAGTTGCTTGCCTTTTCAATGAGGGTGGGTGGGGAGGGAGGAAGGGAGAAAATTTGGAACCCAAAGTTTTAAAAACACATGTTTAAAAAAATGTTTTCACATGCAACTGGGAAATAAGAAATACAGGAAATGGGGTACAGAAGTCTATCCTGCCCTACAGGAAAAATAGAAGGGGAAGGGGAAGGGAGAGATAGAAGGGAGGTCAGACTAGGGGAAGGGGTATTCAGACCGCATGCCGTCTTGGGGTGGGGGGAGGGACGAGATGGGGAGAAAATTTGGAATTCAAAATCTTGTGGAAGTAAATGCTGAAAACTAAAAATAAATTTATATTAAAAAAAAAAAGGAAACAGAGGTAGATAGATGGAAAGCAACTTGCCCAAGATCACATAGTGAGGAAATGTCTAAGGTGGGATTTGAACTCAGGCCTTCCTGACTCCAGACCCAGCCCTCTATCCACCTAGCTAAACCACCAGTCTCTGCAGAGGGGACTCTTGTAGGGAAGGCTTGGAAGAGATGGCCTCTGAGGGCCCTTCCTGCTCTGAGATTCTCTCATTCTGGGCTCAAAGCTGAGATCTAGGTCCTCTTAGAGTGGACCCAGAAGACCCTGGGCCCTGGCCCACCTCCCACAGAACCAGCCCCAAAGCACAGCCCCCATCTCACCTGTGGCCTCCTGGACACTCTGGCCAGAGCTGTTGACACCATTCTTCTCAGCCCTCACTGTGAAATTGTACACTGTGGCAGGGGCCAGGTTGTCCACCATATGCTCCATCTCTGTTGTGTGGTCTTCACCAAGAAGGTCATCCTCTCTGCCCCAGCTGATCCAGTAGGTATAATCGGCAGGCTGGGGGCCATCAGGGGCCAGCCATTTCAGGGTGACTGAGCCATTGCTCCGGGCATCCATCCTGAGGTCTCTGACCTCATTGGGCACTGAGGGAGATGTGAGAACTGAAAGTGGGTGGGGGAAGGGCTTCCCATATTCCCCACCAAGTACCCAGGAGCAGAGGTAAGAGACTAAGTCCTTGGCTTGGCCTGGTGGGGAAGGAAGGATGCTCTCCAACAAAGGGGCCTGTGAGCTTGAGCAGTGCTGGGGCCCAGTGGGTCCAGGGGATCTAGTGTGACCTATATTAGTACATTATAACCTTCAGTTGTCCCTTTGCTTCAAGCTTCTCCCCACTTTCCACTAGAGTCACAATGAGGACTTGAGATTCAAGAAGAGGTAAGGAAGTCTAGTGAAACCTAATAAGATAGTTAATGCTAGTTCTAGCAAGCTCCCAATCTTCAATCAGCACTGATTAAGTGCCTACTAAGCTCTGAGGATACAAAAAGAGCAAAATACAGTCCCTGCCCTCAGGGAGCTTACAATCTAATGGGGGAAGCATGCAACTAAATATATGCAAAGCAAGGTATATACAGGATAAATAGGAAATAATCAACCGGGAGAAAGCACTGGAATTAAGATGGTTTGGGGAAAGCTTCCTGTCAGCTATAGCAAGGATGAGTGGGGTCTGGGCGTAGAAAGTGCCCAGGATGGAGCCCAGGGCCGCAATCTGCTGCTCTTCCCTTCCACCCTCCCTCCACAGTACTTACAACCCCAGGGTAGGGCAGAAGCTCACATGTGGATGCAGTGAGGTTCCTTCCAGAGCTGCTTCCCTGGACACGGACAGTGAACTCATATGTTGTCCCAGGTTGGAGGTCCTTCACTGTGTACTGAGTATCTGAAGTGTCGCTTGTCCCAATGACCTGGCCGTCCTCAGCCCAGGTGACAGTATAGTTGCTATTAGGCGGCTCCCACTTCAGGGTGACTGAGGTATTGCTCTGTCCGTCTACATAGAAGGCCGAGATCTCTTCCTGGGCTGAGAGGCAGGCAGGAGGAGGGTCGGCTAGGGAGGCACTCGGGGGACCCTCCGAACTCCCCACACCCTTTACACAACCCAGTCTAGCTTGGGAAGAATCCTCTCTGCCCTCTGCGGGAGTAATCAGAAGGCCTCTTGGGAGAGGTCTACCACTCACCAACCACCAAGGACCTTGTCCAGCACAGCAGGACCTGTGGGGAAGAATACATAAAAGGTGACAGCAGAGCCTTCCAGCAGAAAGGCAGGGCTGGAATTCCCTCTTCCTTCAGCAACTCCTTGACACAAAGTTCACCCCAATTTCAGCCCGCCCATTTTCTTGAAGGGAGGGAGTGAGAGAAAAAGAGGAAGGAGCCCCGGGGAAACCCGTCTGGATCGGTGCAGTTGATAACACTCAGCCATCACTATTGGCTCCAGGCCAAGAGAAAAAGCATCAGCCCCAGTTCAAGGGCAGGAGCAGGGGTTGGGGGGACTGGGTGGAGCCTGGACTCCTAAGAGGAGAAAGGGGCAGGACACCTGAACACCCCCACACACAAGGTTTCGGTGGGTGGTGGAGAGCTGACAATCAAAATTGCTTATAGTAGACGTCACAGGGGATGACAGGACCCAGGAGTCCTGGTCGTTGGAACTTCCCACAATCTTCCCCAGTCTATCCCCTTCGAGGTTCCAGGCACTCAGGCCCAAAGATCATACTCTGTCAGGTCCCGGTGTCCCCAACCCCCACAAGCCTTTGCCACCCAGGGACTGGGCTGTGTGAACTGGCAGGCCCTTCCCCCATAGCAGGGACACTTACCACCATACTCAGCAGAGGCCAGGGCCCAGGGGAGAGCCCACTCATGACTCTGGACACCAGAGGGAAACAGAGAAGGAGAGAGAAGGGAAAAATGAAAGAGAGAGAGAGAGAGAGAGAGAGAGAGAGAGAGAGAGAGAGGAGAGAGAGAGAGAGAAGAGAAAGACAGGTGTGTGAGACTCCCAGCTCTACACCCTCCTTCTGGACTTTCACCCCAACAGCTTCTCCTTTCTCGGAGCTCCAGGTGACATAGGTAATAGCCTTGGGTGGAGAAGGAGGACAGAGGGGAGAAGGGGGAGGAGGAGGAGAAGCGGGGTGGGGGGGTGGGGGGAAGAAGCAAACAAACAGAAGGGACTGACCCCTTTGTGCCCTCCACACACCCCAGCCAGCCCTCCCTCCCTCTCAGATTCCTCAGACCCAGCCTGCATTCCTGCCCAGAACAATGGATGACTGGCTCTTTTCACCAGCCCCCCCCTTTTTACAAACAAGGAAACGGAGGTTCAGAGAGGAATTATCAGAGCTCACCCAGCAAGGGAAAAGGAAAAGACAGGGAATCATGTGTGGCAGCATAGGAAGGGGACTTGGAGATCTTTGTCTACAACGCTGCCTTTTTATGGAGAATTAGTGAGGCCCCCGGGAGAGCTAATGTGTGGCCCCAGAGTATCTACAGGCAGTCCTGAGCCTTGAACAGAGAAGGCATTTATAAGCATTTCAGCATAGCAGTCCTTGCCGCAAGGAGCTTACATTCTTTTTCTTTTTCTTTTGGCTAGGCGATGGAGTAAAGTCACTCGCCCAGGTCACACAGCTAGGAAGTGTCAAGTGTCTGAGGCCACATTTGAACTCAAGTCCCTCTTGACTCCAGGGCCGGTGCTCTGTCCACCGAGCCACCTAGCTGCTTGCATTCTAATGGGAGGAGGCAGCTCAGAAAAAGGGAAAGGGAGCATTACCCTTTCAAGTGCCCCTTTGGCAGCTAGGTGGCGCCGGAGTGCATAGAGTGCCCAGTCTGGAGTCAGGAAGATTTATCTTTTTGGGATCAAATCCGACCTCAGACACTTATTAGCTGTGTAACCCTGAACAAGTCACTTCACCCTGTCTGCCTCAGTTTCCTTGTCTATAAAATGGGCTGGAGAAGGAAATGGCAAGCCACTCTAGTATCTTTGCCAAGAAAACCCCAAATCGAGTCGCAAATAGTCAGACACAAATGAATGACCGAATATTTACCCACCTTATCCCCACATTGCCTATCCCTCATCTCTGTCCTCCTTCCTTCCCCAGGTCTCCTCACAGCTCAATTACCAAAGGAAAAAAAGTGCTTAGAAACCAACACTACCAAACCTCTCATTTTTTAAAAAAAGGAAACTGAATCCCAGAGAGAGCTGATGACTTTTCCCCAAGTGGCCTCAGGACGATAGAGAGAGGTTAGACTGGGATTAGCAACCTTCCGTGGAAAGAAGGTGGACTCCAAGCCATCAGAAGCTGTGACATCGTCCAGCCCTCCCAAAATAACAGACACGTTTTCACTCTCAACTTTACTAGGCGCGGGGAACGTGGTGGTGTAGATAAGGAGGGCTGGCATCACGTCAGGGACTTAGAGGAGGAGCCCTCCAACGGGGGTGGGGAGGGAAGTGTGGGCAGTGGGGAGAAAGAATTTCAGTCGTGGGGCTCTTGGGCAGTGGAGGTAATACTGGAACGAAAGGGGCCGTGAGTAAGGATGGGGAAGCACCAGCATGGGAAAGGAGGGATTGCGAATAAGTGGGGGGCCCCTAGGAGGGCTTGTGTTTAACGGGGAGACAAGTGCCGGACGGTGATGAGCCGGCAGGAGGGCTCCCGGAAAAGCCCTGCGCCCAGCTCCAAGTTGCTGGTCTGCTAGGGCCCGGCAAGGGGCAGCTCCGCCCTGGCATCTCGTCTTTGCGGGAGCCGTCGAGCTCAGTCAGCTGGGGGGGGCCCTGCGCTCCGCTGCGGACAGAGCCAGCAGGGCTTGGGCGGCGTAGTAGGTGACCATGACGATCAGACGGCCCGCAGGCAGAGGCCGGACGAAGGTGTCCCAGGCCAGGACGGCGTCCGAGACGCTGAAGAAGAGGCCGCCGAGCGCAGCAAGTCTCCCTCGGGCCAGGGCCCGCCACAGCATCAGACCCAGGACGGCCGCGTAGACAAACACGGCGACACGCAGGCTGGACTGGAGGTGAGGCTGCAGGAGCCCCAAGTAGAGGCCGAAGGCGGCCAGCACAGACTCCAGGAGGACCGGCCGGAGCGGGAGCCAGCCCAGGGCCCTGACGTAGAGGAGATGAGCCGCAGCGAAAGCCGTCATGCCTGCAAAGAAGGGCCGGCCATTGGCAGCTGGAAGACCTCTGCCTGCTTCTGGTTCACCCTCCCCACTCCGGCCTGCAGTCTCCTCTACTATCAAATCCCGTAGATTAGGGCTGTTTGCCTGGGAGGAAAGAGACTGGCATGGGGACTGGTTTCAAGTCCTGGGGCTCACTCAAGATCTCAGAGAGTGGATTTGAACCCAGGCCTCAGAATCAGGAGTCTCTCACTGGGAGCCCTTGGAAACCAATCTCTTCTCTTCCCTAAGGAGGGCATGAAACTCAGTCTCTAGTCCCCTTGTAGCTCTGAAGTTCTAGGAGCAAACACACCCCATGGTCTTTTTCTCAATAGCATCTAACCAACAGTCACATCCTCTGCTTGCATACTTCTGGGGATGGGGAACTCATTATCTCTTGAGCCAGACTCTCCCCCTATTGGTCATCAGAGGAACGGGTTCAGTTCTGCCTCTGATCCTACCTGTGAGACTCTGGGCATGTTGCTTCCCTTCCTGAGCCTCAGTTTCCTCATATGTAAAGTGAGGGGATTGGACTAGCATCTGGCCCCTCTTTGCCAGGTCACACAGCCACACGTCCTAGGACTTTATCCAAGGGGGGGGACTTAGATGTCCAATCCAACACCTTCCTTCGAGGCCAGAGAGGAACTTGGCCCCTTCCCTCCCCGAGGGGCCTTGTAGACCCTCCCCTTGCAGAGTCTGGACAGTGGAGATTGGGGATGGACTTTCTCGTGGCCACATTCTGGAAGGAACCTTGGTCATGTTCCAACCTCCTCATCTTAGGAGGGAGGAAAGTGAGACTCAGAAGGCACAGGGTCTTAGGTAAAGCCCCTGAAGGAGCCTTCTGCCCTCCACTCCTGATTCAGGGATTTGGGGCGATTTTATCATGGAAAGAAGGCTCGGAGGACTGTCCCCCTGACCTGCCCTCACTCCCAGCCCATCCCCGGACTGTCCCTGCTGCCATCCCCTCCCCACTCACCAAAGAGGAACCGGTTGGGCCAGATAAGGAAGACGTCACCCAGGGCGGAGCAGAGGAGGCCTTCCCGGATGAACCGGCCATAGGGTCCCCAGTGGGCAGTGGTATGGACTAAGAGTGCCAGACAGAGGACAGGGAGGCATTTCACCAGGGCACTGGTCCAGCTGGGTTCATCTGACGGCAGCCAGAGCAGAAAGTAGAGAGTGCAGGAGGCAGAGAAAGGCCCCAGCCTCAGGGCCAGGAGCAGAGGCTGGAGAGAGGTCAACACAGGTGGCCGAGGGCACCCAGACCATGGGCCATAGCCCAGGTGCCCAGGCCTCCTGCCCCCTGAAGTGCCCACCAAAGCATCCCGCCCTCAGCCCCCAGCCCCCCCGAGCACCCTGCCTTCTGAGGCTTCCCCTCCAGTAGCCTCCCCCTCCTTCTCTACCCTACTGACAGCCCAGGAATCTAGCGGCTCTCTCCCTGGGAGACCTTGGCATCTGGCCTCCCAGTGAGGGGCGGGGTTGGGGGGTGACTCACATCTGGAGTGTGCCTCCTCCCAGATTCCCTTCCACAAGCCGCCATGTTTGTCCAGACACCCCTAGAATAGTGTGACCTAGGCACGAGGGAAGGGTGGTGAATGGGGGGATCTGGTTACACTTTAACCTGAAAACCGTCCCCATGGACTCTGGGCTGATAACGGGGTTGGGAGATTCTCCCTCCCTTCCCCCTCCCTCAGGTTGGCAGTACATGGTGCCCACTGATAAGGGACGCCTTCTTGGATCAGCCTTCCACACCATGAGCTGGGGGACCTCACTTCTGCCCCCTCCCCCCATCCTGCTCCCTGGCAAGGACCCCCACACTTACAGCTGGAAGCTCATCTAGTCCAATCCCAGTGCAGCAGGACCCTGGCTCTGCCTCTGATTTCCTGGGGGACCCAAGCAGCATTCAAACCCAGCTCTTCTTACTCCAGTTCCAGAGGGAAGGCTCTCTACTAGCCTGCCCCCATCTCTGCAAAGGCTATTAGACTCATTGCTTCCTAAAAAAGTGTTGGCCAGGGCCCCCATGCCCCATCGATCCAGAGTTCTGATCTTCGGAGAGGCCTCCATGCGCTCCCCTAACTGCCCCCTCCAGAGATTCTTCTTGACCCCTTACGATCCAGCCACAGGTCCCCACCTCAGCATTCCACCAAACCTGCTCTGTCCAAGTGGCCTATGATTGGCCAAACCCAATGACCTTTTCTCAATCCTCCTTCTCCTTGACCTCTGTGCAACCCTTGACAGTACTGATCACTCTCTCCTCCTGACTCTCCATGTTTTGAGGACCCTCTGTGTGTGTGTGTGTGTGTGTGTGTGTGTGTGTGTGTGTCTGTCTGTCTCTGTCTCTGTGTCTCTGTCTGTGTCTCTGTCTGTCTATCTGTCTCTCTTCTGTCTCTCCTCTCTGTGTCTCTCTCTGTATCTCTCTTTGTCTCTCTCTCTCCTCTCTGTCTCTCTGTCTCTGTCTCTGTCTCTCTCTCCTCTCTCTCTCCCCCCTCTCTCTTTCTCTCTCTCTCCTCTCTCTCTCCCCCCTCCTCTCTTTCTCTCTCTGTCTCTGTCTCTGTCTCTGTCTCTCTGTCTCTCTCTCTGTCTCTCTCTCTCTGTCTCTCTCTCCTCTCTCTCTCCCCCTCCTCTCTTTCTCTGTCTCTCTGTCTCTGTCTCTGTCTCTGTCTCTGTCTCTCTCTCTCTCTGTCTCTCTCTCTCTCTCTCTGTCTCTCTCTCTCTGTCTCTCTGTCTCTCTCTCTCTCTGTCTCTCTCTCCTCTCTCTCTCCCCCCTCCTCTCTTTCGCTGTCTCTCTGTCTCTGTCTCTGTCTCTGTCTCTCTGTCTCTCTGTCTCTCTGTCTCTGTCTCTGTCTCTGTCTCTCTGTCTCTCTGTCTGTCTGTCTGTCTGTCTGTCTCTCTCTCTCTCTGTCTCTCTCTCTCTCTCTCTCTGTCTCTCTCTCTCTCTCTCTCTCTCTCTGTCTCTCTCTCTCTCTCTCTCTCTCTCTCTCTCTCTCTCTCTGTCTCTCTCTCTCTCTCTCTCTCTCTCTCTCTGTCTCTCTCTCTCTCTCTCTCTCTCTCTCTCTCTCTCTCTCTCTCTCTCTCTCTCTCTCTCCCTCTCCTTCTCTTCTCTTTCTCCTTTGCTGCATCCTCCTCCAGGCACCCTCTCACCATAGGAGTCCCTCTGGGCTCTGCCCTGGGTCTTCTTCTCTTCCCCCTCAACACTCCCTCACTTGGGGATCTCCTCAGCTCCCATGGATCTAATCACCATCTCTGTGCTGATGACCCTCAACTCCACCTCTCCTGACTGGACCTTTCTACTGAGCTCCAAACTTGCGTCTCCAGCCGCTTTTCAGACACTTGGAGCTAGATGTGCAGACTCAAACAGAACTCATCACCCTCCTCCAGCCCTCCCCCCTTCCCAGACTGCACAGGGCACCCTGATCCTCCCAGCCTCTCCGGCTCCCAACCTAGGAGTCACTCGCTCTCATCCCCCACATCCAGCATGGGGCCAAGGCCCATCCCTCTCACTGCTGCAGTATCTCTAGAGTACGCCCCCTCCTCTACTCTGACCTTGCTGCAGGTCCCCATCACCTCATGCCTGGGCTGTGGCAGCAGCTGCTGGAGGGTCTGCCTTCCTAAGCCTCTCCCCACTCCAGTCCAGCCTCCATTCAGCCACCAAAGGGCTTTTCCTGAAGCGTAGGGCCGACCATGTCACCCCTAATTGGTAAACTCCAGTGGTTCCCTATCACCCCCCTATTTAGAATCCCCTGAGCAGCATGGGAAGCCCTGGTAGCCCAGCCCCCCGGCCGCTTTCCAGCCTTCTCCCTTCCCAGCATGTCCTCTTAGCTGCAGTGACCCCGGCCTCCTGGCCATTCCAGGAGCAAGGTGCACCACCTTAGAGCTCAACCCAGCTACAATCTCATCTTGGACAGGAAGCCTTCCCAGCCCCTCATTGGCACCTTCCTGCCCTCTCATTTCCTCGGTATCTTGTAGACATGTGTTTGCTTGTAACCCTACCAGACTGGAAGCTCAAGGTTGAGGTGAAGGACCCGCCCTTACCTTTCCTTTCATCCTCAGGGCTAATCAGCACACAGCCTGGCACACACAGTGGTTGCTCAATAAACGTTTCTTGACTGGCTGAATTTCAGAACGTGGAGGATCTCTCAGCCTGGATGTAGACCCTCTCCTTTCCTTGTGCCCCTCCCCGTCAGAGGGGAAACCAGCCTTCCTCTGCTTGGGAGCTCTGGAGAAGCCCAGTTCTGCAAAGGACCTGGGGGCCCTGGGCAAACCTCCCTGCCTCTGGGTACAATGTGCAAGCTGAACACCACCTCCTGGAAGCCGTCTGTGTTCTGACACTGAAAGGACTGGAGGAGGGGGTCCAAGGTCTAGTACCCCCCTCCTACCTCACCCCAAGCAGGGCCTTGGACACCATCTTCTCTTTAGCAAGAAAAAGACTGGGACCTCGCACCCAGGCTGAACTCAGCCACATTTGGGCCACCAGGGGCATATCTTGAGGGGGGCCTCATCCCCTCACATCTTGGGCAAAGCCACTGGAATGGGCTTTCCCACCTACTGTGACCCTGATGCCACCTCCACCTCTGGGCCTCTCGGTTTCCCAAGAATGGGTGACACCCACATCAGAGAATGTCAGAACCACTTAGTCCGGCCCAGATGGGAACAGGAAGTCCATCGTACAGGTACTCAGCCACCCTCGGTGGAAGCAGCCCACTCTGGTCTGGGGTACTCCAACACTGCTCTCTGTCAGCCCAGGACCTCAGAGAATGGGGCCCCAAGCCTATGGCTGGCAAGGGCACCCTACCTCACTCCCCAGCCCGCTCTGCTGCCTCCTTCCCAATCGCGTGCCCCCCTCTGGCCTCCCCTCTGGAACCCTCTGCAGCCATTGACCACCTCCAACCTGGACCCCATCCTCTCACACGCTTTCCATCATCTTGGACTCACAGAAACTGAGCCACCCTGCAGTCAGTGGGTGCTCTTCTTCTCATAGCCAACAGCCCAGAGAGCCGGGAGAAGGGGTGGGCACAGGCTTTGCTCCCCAGACCTGCTTCTACTCAGCAGCCTCTCCTTTGAGGCCCCCTCCTACCGCCTACATCATGTCTCCAGGGCCTGGCTGCCCTGATCCAATCACTGGCCCCCTGGTCCAGCTCCCAGCTTCTCTCTGCATCCTAACCCTTACCCTCTTCCTGCATCTGATGCTGACTATGTGACCTGAGGCTGGTCCCCCTCCCTCTCCCTCCACCTCAGTTTCCACAGCTGTAAAATACTGGCCCAGATGGCTTGTGAGGCCCCCTCCCTGGGATCCTTGGAGGCGTCACTACTGTCCTTCCACTCCCGCTGGCCTCCCATGCCTCCATCCTCACCATCACCCGTAAGTGGAGCCCCCAGGGCCCAGGGCTCTGGAGTCCCCCTCCCTTATCCGTGCCCCTGTCCTTCCTTCTCTCCCTCTGACTCAGTGCTCCTCTTCACCAGGCCCCCAGGCCTTCCTGGCCTCTCTTCTCGGTCCTGGCCCTCAGCTCCCCTCTACCTCTGGCCCTCCTTTTTCCGCCACTCATGACTTGGCAGTCCGTGGCCTCAGTCCCCCTTGTCCTCCACCTTCTCTGCTCCTGCGCCTCAGCTGCTGAGTTCAGTGCAAGGAAGTCAGGAAATCCTGCCATTACACATTCACGTTGTTTAATCTCAACCAGGCCCTTGCCACTTCCCAGCAATCCTTGGCTCACTCCCTGGCTTCTGCTTACCTCTTCCAGACCAATCTCCCCCTCTCCCTCCTCACAATCTCAGCATCCCAGCCAAACTGGCATTCTTACCAGCCCCAGAAGAGATCCTGCCCAGGTGGTTCCTGTGCCGGCATGCCCTCCCACCACTCCTTCTCCTTCTGGGACCCCTGCTCATGCCCAGGCTCAGCTCAGGGCTCCTTCCTACAGGGGGTCTCTCCTCATCCCCCCGTGACCAGTACTCCCAACTGAAATGACTCGCTATGTCCTGTGCAGTGGACGCAGCACCCTGCCAGGGACACGTAGGTCCTTGAGCACGGCCCCGTCTCAATCAATAACTGCATTGTACTGAGACCTTCTGCTCTTTCTTGATGGACTCTATTACTCTCCCTCTCGGTTGCTTTTCAAAACCTCTCCGTCCGTTTGACAAGCATTTATGAAGCACCTACTACTAGCCACGCATGGGTACACAAGGACGGGGGGGAGAAGAGATAGGACCTCCCATTAGGGAGAAACAGAGAAGCAGCTTTTTTACATGTAAGCATTCATTAGCGGGCCAGGCAATGTGCTAGACATGGGAAACACAGATATTTAAATGGGCAGTCCCTACCCTCATGGAACTTGGATTTTACTGAAGGAACGTAACATGTTCATAGGTATGAAAACAGAGCCAGGGACTGAGCCAGGAATTGCCTTCCCCTAGGGAATTCCAGGTGAGGAAACTCCCCTCACTGACGCCGACTGGCACCTTCTTTTCAATGGGCAGCCTTAATGAACTGCCCAGAGCACTGAGAGCTTGTGTCTTGTCCAGGGTCGCACAGCCAGTAGGTAGCAGGGTAAGAGGACTCAAATCCGGGTCTTCCTGGCTTGGGGGCTGGCTCTCTGGTCACTATTCCACTACAAGATAAAAGAAATGCAACGTGATTTGATGGAGGGTACTAACAGCTGAGGGAGCCAGGGGTGAGGAGGGGTGAATATCCTAGGCAGGGGTCACTGCCTGTGCAAAGACTTGGAGGAGGGAACTAGAACGGTGTTTCCAGGGAACAGCACGTGGTCCAGTTTGGCAGGAATGTGGTGTGCTTTGGGAGGGTGATGTGTGACCACCCTGGAAAA